GGTCACAGTAGTGTGTTGGAAAAGCACACATAAGACGGGCTTTGAATTTCATCTGTGCTTACAACCCAAGTACTGTCAGTAATTACTAGTTTTTTAACTTTGGGCATGTTATTCAGTCTGTTTTTGTTTTGTATGTATATTAAAGAATAGTAGCTACTTCACACGGTTTTTATGATGACTGGAAATATGCAAAACTTAGCATTCTGAGGTAGCATATGTAGTATATAGCATTATTTATATGTGAGGGAAAGACAATTTCTGCACTTCCACTTAGGTTATTGTTGATGCAAATTTAGAATTCTAGTTTAAAATTTGTTTTTCCATTTAACCCTCAGACTTCTTTAAGTTGAAACTTATATGTTGATATCTCTGTTAACGGTGAATATGTGTTCTAACAACATCATTATTAGAATTTTTCTAGAGGTAAAAATGTGTCAAGATTTCAAATCTTATCTAGGAATTTTTTTGAATAAGAGCAACTCTGACAATCTGTATTATTAAATAAGAGCAACTCTGACAATCTGTATTATTAAAGAGTAACTAAAAAAAGATCGATGTGTCTTAGTAATAATTTGTGACAAAAACTGTATGCCTTTTTGAACATTGAATAAGATAAAACTGTAATTAGCATATACTAACATAGTATAATAGTATAATTTGAGAATCAGTTTCTATATCCTGGCAGAAATGCTAATAACTAAGGGGCCAGGAATTGCACTGGGCAGCAGATGGATCCATCTGTGGCTCTCTGGCTGCAGCATGGGAGGCAGCAAACAGATTTCTGTTCCATCTGACTACTTTCCTCCCCTGCCTAACTTCCTTGAACTCTGAAGCTGAAGCATGATACAGAACACAGTTCAGATAAGATTATTTAAAATTATTTATTAACATGTTCAATAAGTTCCCAGCAGTTTTACAAGGTGCTTTTTGAAGAAAAGCAGCAAGCAGTACACAGCAGTCTGCCTACTGTTGTTTTATTGCCAGTGTTGCTAGAGAATGATTTATGGTTGAAAATAAGACAACAGAAAAATAGTTGAGTGGTTATATATAGGTTATAGATACCTGTATAGGTGAGTATTCCCAAGGGTAGTAATTAACCTTACTGTTTAAGGAAAAAACACATGGCTGCTCTTCCTCTGATTTCCTTCTATAAGGATGCATGTGATGTCATTTTTCATTTTGAACACTTAGTCTGTGTACACAGTTGCTAGGATGTGCATACAAATTTAAATATGAGAAGCACTAGAACAAGATTTCCTTAATTAGGGGCTTTATAATAACTTTAGCTTATTTTGATTTTATTATACTTTTTTTGATTTAAATCAGTTAAATTAGGATAGTCATTAATTGTAATTTTAAGTAATGTTTACTAAGTAAATATATTAACTCATCCAGACAGTAGTTTATAATACAGATTTAATTAATTCCCTAAGGAAACTCATAATAAAGTAATTTAACTAATCTTTTTATTTGAGGAGAAGAACAAAGCATCACACAATAATATGTAAGTTATTAAAATAATATCTTGCTATTTTAAGTTTTTAAAAATTAGTTGTTAAGAGTGTTATCTTGAATTTTCTCCTTTTACTTCTTTGAATACTTTATATGGCTATTGTGTGTATTTTTTTAATTGTGTGTATTTTTTTAAAGATTTACTTTATGTATTTATGCATGGGAAAACTGGGGTGTAGCACAGAGGTGCAGGGGTGTGAGAGGAATCACCAGAGACAGAGTGGGGAGCAGAACAGGCAGATGTACTGAAATATATTGCTGAGGAGAGCAGCAGGTGGGACAAGAAAGGAGAGGTGTGCTGTGCCATGTGGGTCACCTCCCTGGCTGGGCTCAAACTCATGCCACAGTGGCTGGTGATACTTTGATAGCACTGAGACTTTAACCCCTACACCTCCAGGAGGCCCATGGTTATTGTGTTTTTGCTAGATCATTTATTTCACTCTATACTGCTTGTTGTTTTTTCTCTGTTTAGGTTGTAATTGTTCACCTTCCTGATAGGCCATTCTTGTTTCCTCTTTCTGTAACTCAATTCTCTGATGTGAGGTGATATCTTTCATTTTTGTAATTTCACTGTAGTAAACATATTTCAGCAACTTTTAATTTCATTTATCTACCTTACTTCTTTTTAGCTGTTCATTTAGTAACCAGTTGGTTCTGTCAGATGTCTCAGTTATATACAAATAAAATTTGAACCCACCATGATTCTGACCTTTTTTTAGAAAATAAAACAAATGCATACCATTAATAGCAGCAAACGCCTGTCCACTCTCATTGTTCCATCAAGTGGCATTATTTGTGAGCATAGGTCAGAATTCTGGATGCCATCCTTGGTCAGTATCTCTTAATTATTCTGATTAGATCCTTGCTGGTACCTGTAAGTACTGATATAAAAATATATTTCATATTCTGTCTACTTTCTTTATCATTACTCTTATGCAATCATAACTCAAGAAACCGCCATTCATCTCTATGATCAGTTATTATTTAACTAGTATACAGAATAACAAACTGTGCATGATTTTATTGTAGTATTTTAAATGTAAAAGAAACATCCTAAATCCAAAACGTAATTATTTTCCTTCAGTGGGATTGCATGATACTTGGTTATGCAGAGGAGGTAAGTTGGGATTTGAGACATTTATGTTTGAAGTTCAGATTTTGGTTTTTTAGCAAGTCTGTCTTTTTTTATTATTAAGTAATTCAGAATTTTGTATGATAAAAAATGATTAAAGAAGACAATTTAAGTGATACAAATAAGCTTTAGTCCTTCATGAAGCAGACAGTCTCGTTTCAGGGAACTGTAAAATGGGGCAGAAGGCAGAAAGCTTTTAGAGGATACAGACTAAAGAACAAGAAAGAGAAAAACAGAAAATATCTGATTAGCTAGAGCCACATAGTCAACCTTATTTGAAGTGAGAAAACCTAGAATCCGCTTTATGTTTGGACATTGACTGAATATAGTCAATGGGAGCATTTAGAGGAAGTTATCTATCAGTTCATTGACATGACATATTAGGCAGAAGTAGCTCTTTATTGAGCCTAGAAGTTTATCCCAATAAGAAAGAAGAATCCATATTAATTTTCATATTATATGATTTTTAATTATAAAAATTTGTGTTAGGTGAGTATGCATATATACATGTAGGATATCAGTACATATAGTCTTCTGAATAGAGAATTTATTGGTAAATAATTAGATCTCAGAGTGAGAAAGCTGGACATTGGTAGGAGGCTGTTCTTGTGAGGGCAGATGCCCATGGGTGTGCTCTATCATAGATTTTCTTCTGGACAGAATAAATAGTATACTTGAATTTCTTCCAAATAAGTATAATGAACTAGTGTAAGTATATTTCTGTGATAAGGTAGCTAATTTGATCAATTTTTCACACTGGTTCTCAGCAAGGGTTTGTACCCCAGGGGAGATTTTTTTTTGGCTTCCATGAGGGTATTACTGGAATCTCTTGGGTAGATACTGGACTATTGCTCAAAAGTCTACAATGCTCAGGATAGTTCCAAACAACAAACAGGCATGCAGCTCAGAAGGTCAGTCAATAGTGGTGAGTTTGAGAAACTCTTTAAAAAAGGTGTTGTTTTTTTTTAACCTGCCACCTTAATGTCCTATTTTTCAAATTTTTATTTAATGAATGAACTTATAGGGCCTCCATATAAGTGGTGAAAGGGTTATAGTCTCAGCACTCTTAAGTTACACCAGCCATTGCAGTACAAGTTCCATACCATACTGCAATGGCAGACTAGGGAGCTGACCCACATAGGGCTCAGCGCACCTCTCCTTCCCACCCACTGGTGGCTCCCCTCAGCAGTGTATTTCAGTCATTCTGCCTGTTCTGCTCCCTACTCTGTCTCTGGTGAACCTTCTCTCACCCCCTGTACCTCTGGCCTACACCCCAGTTCTTGTATGTATGTATAAGTAAAAATGTTTTTAAAAAACATTTTAAAACCTTATTAGTACAATGTCTATAATAATTACTTGATTTTAAATTTGTGAAAACAGAAGTCTGTGCTTGTTATAATTTAGGAGAAGGAATCAAGGAGGAATGAATGTCAGTTTTCTGACTTTGCCAACTTGCAGGAGATAAATGCAACAGATGTGTATAAGATCTTCAATTCAGGTTATACTTCTAGAATTTGAGATACCTGAGAGATAACAAGAAGTCCTGAAGATCAGAACTTCAGTGGTTGGACTTATATTTAATTTGTAGTTTGTTGGTATATAAATATAAACTACATATAATCACCTGGTGGGGGGTGGTGGGAGGGTGGGGACCAGAACAGGTAGATCTACTGAAGTACATGCTGAGGTGAACAGCGGGTGAGACAGGAGAGGTCTTCTGTACCATGTGGGTCACCTGCCTGGCTGGGGATTGAACTCAGGCTGCGGTGACTGCACATAGCTTCATAGTGCTGAGATTTAACTTCTTGGGTCACCAGGGAGGCCTGTTTGGTATTTATTTAAAAGACTTATTTATTGTATTACTTTGTGTATAAGAACTGGGGTGTAGGCCAGAGGTGTGGGAGGTGAGAAGATTCATCAGAGACCGAGTGGGGAACACAACAGACAGATCTACTGAAATACACTACTAAGAGAAGCAGTGGCTGAGACAGGAGAGGTGTCATATGTGGGTCAGCTCCTTGGCGGGAGATTGAACTCAGGCCTTAGCAGTGATAGAGCTGAGACTTAACCCATGGGCTACCAGGGAGGCTTCCCTGAATGGTATTTTAAAAGATAAATAACATGTTTGTGTTTTAAAGATTGTGAGACAAATCAAGCATCATTTGTTAGTAAACACATTTTCTATAAGTATATTTTTATATGTTTTTTTTTTGCCTTCAAGGTCATGGTAGATAATATTTTATATATTTTTATATAGTTGCTTGGACTCTAAGTGATTCAACAAGTGTGAAAATAATTCTGTTGATTACTATAGTTACTATAGTTGAGACATCTAAACATTACTTTTGTTTTTCAGATCTTTCCAGAAACCGTTTTACCGAAATTCCTTCCGATGTCTGGTTATTTGCACCTCTTGAAACATTAAATTTATATCATAATTGCATCAAAACCATTCCTGAAGCCATTAAAAACCTGCAGATGTTAACATACCTTAACATTAGGTAAGGAATCACTTGTAAATTCGATTTTTTAAATTACAATTCTAATCCTTTTTAGTAGCAAAGAAATGTGTTTGATTTTGGTAGCCTGTATAGGTAAATATGTAGCCTATATTTGTCTCAACAGTTTCTTATTTTTTTCATATGTACATTATTCTATAGTCTTTGGTTTTGTATTTGACGGCAGTGCTTCTCAAATTTGAATGTGCACAGGAATCATCTGGACATTAAAATGCATGTTGTGATTCCATAGTTCTGCAGTGGGGCTATAGACCTTAGAGCATTTTGAGTAGTAAGGTTTAAATCATATGTATTTCACTAAAATGTATGACATCACAATGCAGATATATCTATGTGCATCCTCAAAGCGAAGTATTATAAAGAAACAGTTCTTAAGTTATATATTTTTTCTTGAGACATCTTGTCACTACTTTCAAGAATGGGTTGGTTAGGTTTTGGAATGTTAGTAAGTAGATGATTTTTAAAAGTTCTTTGTAAACTTTTATCTATTTATTTATTTACTTATTTATTTATGGGAGAACTGGGATGTAGGCCAGAGGTACAGGGAGTATGACGATTCACAGAGACAGAGTGGAGAGCAGAAGAGGCAGATTTACTGAAATACACTGCTGAGGGGAGCAGTAGGTGTGGGTCAGGAGAGGACTGTTGTGATATTTGTGGGTCAGCTCCTGGTCTGGGATCAAACTGAGGCTGCAGCAGTAATAGTTTGATAGCTCTGCGACTTAACCCCTAGGCCACCAGGGAGGTACAGGAAGTAGATGATTGTTGTTGTTAATACTTAAGTGCTTACTATGTGCTAAGCAGTGTTCCAAATACTTTACTCATACTCATTCATCTCAAATTCACATCATTTGAGATATGTACTATTATTATCCTTGCATTACAGATGAGGAAACTGATGTACAGAGAAAACACAAAAGCAAACTGTGTGTGTGTGTATGTGTGTGTGTGTGGGTGGGTGGGTGGAGGGGGGTGGGGAGAGAGAGTGAGAGGGGAAAAGAGAAAGGAGGAGAGAGAGAGAGAGAAAAGAAAACACACGTGCACAAAAGGTAGACCCAAGATTCAAAGCAAGCCAATATGACTTGAACGCTTTATTCTTAGTTATCACTCTATATTTTACATTTAATAAGTAAACGAAAACACAGTTGTCCTGTAAAATGAGTGGCATTGAATAGAAACAGGTGTGTCATGACTTAATTTTGGTCTCTTTTTTTTGAGTTGTAAGGAATAATTTCCTCCCCCTTCGTAATAGTTACTTATCTAAATCCCCAATAGAGAATAATTAAATATAATTAATGTATAGAAATAATAATCCCCTTTTATTGCTGTGATCTGTTAACTCTTATATATGTCTCCCTCTGTTAATTCTTACATATGTCTCCTCAGTGGTGTCACCTGGCAGTACATATTGTTTTAATAATTTTATTTATTTATTTTTAAAGATTGATTTATTTAAGCATATAGAAATGGGGATACAGCTCAGAGGTGCTGGGAGGGTGAGTTTTCACCAAAGACAGAGTGGGGAGCAGAACAGGCAGAGCAACAAAGTACACTGCTGAGGGGAGCAGTGGGGTGTGTCATGAGAGGTCTGCTGCGCCATGTGGGTCACCTCTCTGGCTGGGGATCAGTGGCTATGATAGCTTCACAGTGCTGTCCTTTAACCCATTGTGCCACCAGGGAGGGCCCCGTTTTAACCATTTTATACCTTAAAATGTGTGAGAGGATTGTTTTCATAGATTAGTCATTGGGTTGTTCCTTTTTCTAATAGGGTACATATTTCTGTGCCCTGACTACGAAAAGGTTTGAGGAAAGTGAGCTATTTTTGTTTTGTCTTTGTTTTTATTTCATTTTGTTCTATTTTTTTTAAAGATTTATTTATTTATTTGTACAGAATTGGGGTACAGGTCAGAGATGCCGAGGGTGAGAGGATTCACCAGAGACAGAGTGGGGAGCAGAACAGGCAGATGGACAAAGTACACTGCTGAGGGGAGCAGCGGGCGGGTCAGGAGAGGTCTGCCTCGCCATGTGGACTCCTCCGGGGCAGGTGGGGATCGAACTCCTGAGGAAGTGGCTTAAGTTTCTTTGTGCTATGCTTTAGCCCGCTGCGCCACCAGGGAGGGTCCTTCATTTTGTTCTTTTATGGACAAAAGTGTTGTCAAGAAGCATTACGTTTTTATATTAAACATGTATTGTATAGCTTAGAGTAGCTTTACTAAAACATTCTGTGATTCCTGTTTTGACCTCCAAAAGTTGATTTCTGCTTCTTATTTACAACCAAAAGTTTTTGAGCAAATTCTATAGAAGTAATATTTGTTGCAGGGACTGACTTCCTTTGACTATCTTTAAAACATGTGACAGGCCCTCCCTGGTGGCGCAGTTGGTTAAAGCACAGCACTGAGAATCTAAAACCGTTTCCACATGAGTTCAATTCCCGCCTGCCCCGGAGGTGACCACATGGCGTGGCAGACCTCTCCTGGCCGCCCGCTGCTCCCCTCAGCAGTGTACTCCGTCGATCTGCCTGTTCTGCTCCCCACTATGTCTCTGGTGAAGCCTCTCACCACCCCTGAGCCTCTGGCCTGCACCCCAGTTCTGTATACACAAATAAATAAATCTTTAAAAAAAAACATGTGACAGAAACTGAAGATTAAAGATTATTAATTATGAAGAAATCACCTTCTGGAGAAAGCTGCTCATTGAATGAATCTACTTCTTAAGGGAAGAAAATAGGTTAATTTTTTAAACCTTTTTTTGGTTTGAGGGAGGTTAGAATGCATTCATATATGCCATTTCTCCTCCATTTATTTACTTTGTATTTTGGTGAAATTATCGTGAGAAATGTGTAAGATAATTTTTACTTATTTTGCTCTTCATGTATACTGCCCTCTTTTTCAGTACTCCTACAGGAAGTGCCTTCTGTGATTTAGACACACCCCTTTCTAAGATAATCTAATTGATCCTGAAATTGTGAAGGGTTGTGAAAGGACCCTAGAATCTTTATCATTCCAGCATCTCTGCTAGGATTACTGGTTTAGTGTCGTTGTCTTTTTTCCTTTTTAAAGGTTTGCCATGTGATTAAAGTCAGTCTAGTGTTTGTGTACATACTTTATAGGCATAAATGGGGTGAAAGGCCTCTAAGTTCCCCATTAGGGTAACACTGGATTTGTGTTGCTGCTCGTGTAACATAAAATGCTAGGGATGGGTCTGTAAATGGCACTTTGAAAAATAGGAAGAATTATAGCTTATTGCTTGCTTATGAATGCTTCATAGTATGTGAATGTAATGATACACTTTTTACATTTTGGTAGTGACATTGTCTTAGACTGTTCAGGCTGCTTTAACAGAATGCCATACACTGGATGGCTCATGAACAACAAAAATTTATTCTTCACAGTTCTGGAGGGGAAGTCTAATATCAAGGGTGCCGAAGATTTTGGTGTCTGATGAGATTCCCCTTCCTGGTTCATAGACAGCTATTTTCTCACTGTGTCTTGTGGTAGAATGGGTAAGGGAGCTCTCATAGGGTATAAATGCCATTCATGAAGGCTGTTCCTGCATAATTTGGTTATCTTCCCAAGGCTTCATATCCAAATACCACTATATTGGGGATTAGCTTTCAGTGTATGAACTTTGCAGGTTTATACAAGGTGGATATAGTTATTCAGTCTGTAGCAGAAAGCATTTGGGTTAGTCTGCACTGGCATACAGATTTGCCTGTTGTAATTCCTAGGGCAAGAGTCTCATATCCAGATTGCTTAGATTTGAACTGCCAGCTTGTATGACTTAGAGCATTATACTTAATATATTTTTGACTGTTTATTCATCTGTAGAGTATTGTGATAGTATTTATCTTTCCAAGCAGGTTGTTGTGAGGGTTAATAGAGAGAATTCATGTAAGGTGCCTGGTACATAGTATGCCCTCAACAAATGTTAGTCCTTGTTATATTTAAATGTATCACCAGATGGGAATGTTGTATTAGCTGCAATAAAGGTGCTACAGTAGGTTGTTTTATCATAAACCATAACAAAAAGGACTAGGTTAGAGTTACAATGTGATTTTGAAAATATAATACTGTTTATTCTTTCATAAATTTGAACATAGTGCATGCATATTTATCTTTACAGTCTTTTCCTAGTTAAAGGCATGGAGGTATTGAACATAGTGAAATTATATTAGCTAGCTTGGTTCTGGCTTTCTCTAACTTAGAAGAATGATTCTGATTTTTTGAGAACTGGTAGTGTGTAGCACAGTATCATAGATAACAGCACTGTCTACTATGCCTGGGCAAACAACTTAACCAGTTGTAACCTTTGATTTCATATTTGTATAATGAAGATAATAATATTACCTGTCTTGTGGGGTTCACTGATAAAGTACATGTAAGGATTTAAGTGTAACCACTCATTAAATGATGGTTATTATTTAGTGAAATTTTTATATTTACTTTTATGATGATTTGTTCTTTTTAAATTGACATGTCAGGTTTCAGACATGCTTATATTTTCAGTTGAAATCTTTTATCTACTTGCCAATGAGATTTTCTTATTCTTTTCAGTCGAAATCTTTTATCAACATTGCCAAAATACTTATTTGATCTTCCCCTTAAAGTTCTGGTCGTCAGTAATAATAAACTGGTATCCATTCCAGAAGAAATTGGGAAATTAAAAGATTTAATGGAATTGGTGAGTAAAATAGTTGTATTGATTATATATAATCTGCATAATATATACTTTTATCTTTTGGAATATTACTGATTCCTTTATGGAATTTCACTGTAATGAAGAATAAAAAGAATGCTTGCTTTATACCTCAGTTTTCACTTACCTAGTTTTGAAATACCATGTTTATGTCTGATTTTAGCACATAGTCAGTTATTCATTAGTCCATTGGAAGCAGAAGGCTTGTGTATAGTATTAAGGAATGTTTGTCAAATGGATAAACATGTGCCTATCCAGTTGTGGATGGTATACAGGTCTTAGACCTGCAAAATATGTTTTTTTTTTAAGGTTTTACAGGGCACTTTGAAAGCAGCAGAGAAAGGGTATACAAGAGGAGAGCACATTGTGTAAAAATAACTTCTTGGGAAAAAATAGCCTTTCCTCATGTGCTTTTTTTTTTTTTTTTTTAAAGATTTATTTATTCATACAGAACTGGGGTACAGGCCAGAGATGCGGAGGGTGAGAGGATTCACCAGAGACAGAGTGGGGAGCAGAACAGGCAGATCGACGAAGCACACTGCTGAGGGGAGCAGCGGGCGGGTCAGGAGAGGTCTGCCACGCCATGTGGTCACCTCCGGGGCAGGCGGGAATCGAACTCATGCCGAAGCGGCCCTAGATTCTCAGTGCTGTGCTTCAACCCGCTGCGCCACCAGGAAGGGCCTCCTCATGTGCTTTTTAATAGTTTTGGAAACGGTGGGTCTGCTAGACTTAAGCAGACTGTTCTCCCACCATTTTTGTTACCTGTAGCTCTGAATTCCTAGACAAGGTCAGAACCACCTAGACAATCAGTTATAGGAGCCCAAGCCTACAAGGTGCCTTTCACATCATTCAAAAAAGCAGAAAGCTTCATCACCCTGGGAAGGGTATGCATCAGGAGGGGCCATTGATATATGACAAGGGACCCCAGAAGCTGATCAGGGAATGACTTGTTGATAAGATTGGAACCATGGCTGGGGCCTGGGGTATGGTTGTGGTTACAATCCTTGGTCATCAAGTAGATAAGAATGATCTCATCAGCAGACTCATGTCCCCTTGAAGCTCCAGATGACATAAGCATATTTTTTAGTTTCACCCATCCTTTCTTTGTTGTCTTCCTACCCCATGTAACTAATGCTGTATGATTATTCAGTCAATAAAAAGGCCAGGATCTTGCTCATACAGCAGCATCCTGCACTGTGCAGCCTGCTCCACAACTCCGTCAGTGTGGTGTTGCTGATGCCAGGAAACAAGATCAATGGAAAGTGTCTATTCTTTTTAATTGTCTGTGCACATATAGGGATAATTTAAAGTATAATTTATCTTGAGCATAACATTTTAGGTATTTAAAGGACATTGAACTCTGAAAAAAAAAAACCAATGAGATGCTGAAACATTGAGCTATTTTCACACCTTTCTGTTACGTGAACCTCTCATAGTATATCATGTTGTTTATTTTCTGTTTTATCTTGAGGAATGCTTTCCCATAAATAGATATTTTAAAAGTAGTTGTAAGTCTGACTTTATTATGTGTGGAGAACCAAAACTTTTCCTTGGAAACTTAAATACAATTTTATATGGGAAATCAATGTGCAGATAGAATCTAATGAACAGTTATTCATTAAAGAGTATCTACATGTGCATTTATAGTACAAGGAAGCTTCTTTAAATACACTTAGACCATAGGGCAAGCTTCATCTTTGTTCCTAGTCCTAATCCTCCTCCCCACCTTAGGTGTCTAATTCTGTATTCCTATTTCTAAGATTTGTTTGGTTTAGTTTTCTCTGTTCCTTTGTTTTATTTCTTTCTTTTCCATATATGAGCAAAATTATCTGGTTTTGTCTTCTTCAATGGTAGTATTTCTGAAGCAGCTATAATTCTCTTTTGAAAAACTACTTGCTGTTTTTATTTTGATGTAAAATACATGTCTCTATCACGTTCATCTATTGGTCAAGGGACTGCCAACTCTCCATTCCTTCTGATATTTGTAATCTGTTGTGTGCCTATGTTTATTTTACCAATTTCCAGTACTTGCTTTTCTGTTATTTAAACACATTTACTCCTTTTTATGAATTTTTATTCACTGCTATATCTGTGTTGGGTATTACCTGTCATTAGAATATTTCCCCATGTTGTGTCACAAGAATTTGATAACTAATTACAATGAAATCTGTCACTAGAAACCCAGGGGATACTTTTCGATATTTAATACCCAGTAATTTATAGAGTACCCATTGGTGAGTGGGTCAGTTTCCTGTGTCTAGATTTATTTCTTCAGGGAAAAGGCAGCTATTTGTCAGAATTCTGTGTTGTGTTGTGTGTGTGTGTGTGTGGGTAAATGTTCAGTACTAGACACCTGAAAGAAGTCATAATATTTACTGTAAACGGCAACTTCCCAAATTTTATTATCTATCCTTTGGATAATATTCTATTCTCAACATAACAACTAAGGTACTCCTGTGAAAATGATTGTCACATTATATTATGCCTGTTTACAAGTTTCTGGTACCTTCCCACATCTCTTAGAGTAAGAGCCAGTCTTATCCCTTCCTTTGAACATGTTTGCTCCTCCCTCCTTCCTGTTACTAAAACTTGATTCCTTGTTACTCTTAGTACTTGTCAAGCAGGCTTTGCCCCAGGCCTTTATATTTGTTGCTCCTTCTGTTGGGAATGTTCCTTTCCTATAAATTGATCTCTCATTCTCTTAGCTTTAATAACACCTCTGAAATATCAGCTTTTCCATAAGACAGTTTAAATTGCTAATTCCTTCCCTACTACAAACTACTATCAGTAGAACTGCATTTCCCTTTACACTGTTGTGTTTGTTTCATGGCACTTAACACCTTCCAGTATGCTACATAATCTGCTCCCATTGGTAGAACCTAAACCCATGAGGAGTTATGAGGGCAGGAATTTTTGTTTTATTCCTCGATGCATACCAACACCAAGAATAGTGCCTAGCAATGAGTTGGTATTTGATAAATATTTGCTGTGTGAAGATGTCTTATTTATAATTTGCAAGATATATGCAGGTTACATTTTTTTCTAATCTGTGGCTTTCTTGGATTCTTCCCTATGTAGCTTTAATATTCTTTTGGAATACTTCCTGCTTTCTAAATTTTTGATAAGGCTGAATGCATATTTAACTCCCTTTTGTCCAAGCTAATATCATTTCCAGTGAAAGCTGTAAATTGCAGCAATTGCAGTAGAATATTAGTTTTATTTGCTATGGGTTTGGAATGAGTGGTGTGTGAGATCTTGTTGCAGATATTTCCTTCCTCTTTGTTGTGGTAATAAAAAGGGAGAAGGAGAGGAGAGTGCTGTTAAAAAACTATTCTGTATTCTAATGTCATGCAGATGTGGTTCCTTTACCTTTAAATCAGAGCTTACATTTTAATTTAAACCTGAAAGATTAATTCAGATCTCCTAAAATGTCTTTGCATTATAATATGAGCTGTAAAACATTGCTCTTTTGTAACCTTTGTATTCCTTTAGGCAAAAAGGTTTAAAGTACAGTGGATTCTGATCATATATGGTCTTTAGTTTTCCAACCCATATCTGTAAATGGATTTGACTTTCTCAGCCTTTGTCTAAGCAAGTATCTCAAAACAATTAAAATAAGTGATAGATTATCGCAATGAGTAATAGTTGTCTTTGATTTTTATCTCTGAATGAAGAGCACCTAGATTATCTATGCTTCTGGTTTTAGTTGGTACTAGATGGTCTTTAGTGAGATTTTCAAAAGGCTGACAAAGTACTAATGGTACTGCGAACTTCAGATTTTTACACAGAAAAATTTCTAAACTGTGTTGCCAGATAATTCATCTTCAGGAAAATTACAAGAGGTAGGCATTTGCTAGCTATTAGTTGTATGATTTAATTGAAAAAGTTGAAATATATTTGTATTTTCCAGTTAGTTATAATTTTTATTTTCTTATTTTCCTTAGGATATCAGCTGCAATGAGATTCAGGTCCTTCCCCAACAAATGGGAAAGTTACATTCTCTTAGAGAGCTGAATATAAGAAGAAATAATCTCCATGTGTTGCCAGATGGTAAGATGTGTGCTGTTTTACTGACATTGAAGTATGATGACCTGAGATAAGTAGCCTGGAAACTTAGCAGCAACCTTTTGCTTAGTTCCTGGTATGCAAAGTAGTCCCAGATAGTAATCTTGCTTCATGTTCCACCATGTACTGCTACGAGGCAGGATAGACCTAGGGGAGTCCCATGACTACGGGGCCTGGGGGGCTCATGACTACTGACCCTTTACACACTCCTTGGTATGCAACTATACAACTCAACTCTTGGTATGTAGCTACATCATATCTGACCATGTATAGCTGCCATTGCAAACCCATCCAGAACTTTGTAGAAACTGAAAGTGTAAATGAGCCCCTAATTTCTTGCAGACAGAGCTCAGCTTTGGAATACGAGTCTGCTGAGTTAGCACGGGTGCGTTAAACCTGCTTCTTGTTAGCTTTGGTGTCCATGTTTCCTTTGTGCCATATAACAACATGAGTAAGAGAGTAACTATGTAAAACTTAATTTCATTATTTTTCATTTCTGCACAGAATTAGGAGATCTTCCGTTAGTCAAGTTGGATTTCTCTTGCAATAAAGTGACTGAAATTCCAGTTTGTTACAGGAAACTGCATCATTTACAAGTAATTATTCTGGATAACAATCCATTGCAAGTACCACCAGCACAGGTTTGTAATCAAATATATTTATTTTATTTTTAATTCATAGTTATAACTATGACTGGTCAATTAAGAAGCATAAGAATGAAGAGTCAATTTGTTGTTGTTATTGTCTAAAAGACGTTTTTCTGAGAAGTGATTTGTTTTCACATTTGTAGGCGTTTTAGCATAACGTCTAGAGACCATGATTTGGAGAACCCAAACCCAGAATCAGCTTTTTGATCGTGAGCTTACAATTCTGGTTAGCCTGTTTAAAAGATCAGACTATGGAGTGTGTATGTTACAGGGCAACCCTGATATGAAATAGGTTGCCTGACTGTGATACTTACCCCTGTGTCTAAAAGGGACTTATAATGAGACTCAACTGCAGGCACACTCAAAAAGGTTAATAAAGGGCTTATTTGCAAAAGAAGGGGAAGTGAATAACTCAGGGAGAAATTGGAGGAGATAATTCATGAATGCCTCCTATCATTTCCTCCAGCAAAAACCAAGAGACCTCCAAGGCCCACATGTCTGGTTTTATACCAAACCTGTCTGCTTAACTCCATCCTCAGGTCCCAGCAATTTCCCTTCAGTGATGACATTATGGGAGTTGTAGTTCTTTGGTGTCTTGAATTTCTTTGGCCTGGGGTGGAGATGGAGTCCATAAAATCTATGTGTGGTTTGTTCACGACATCCTTTCCCCCTAAGATGTAAACGAAAAATTATTTTCCCTGTGCCCTTCTAGGTTCTGTCTGAAACACCATCTGTGATAAAAGACAGATTAACAGAAATGCAAACCAGTTCAATAACATTTATATCTCCTTCAATAATGTTTTCAGCTAAATACAAAAGATGTTGGGAGAAGGGAGCCTGTTACGAGAGGGTATCAGACAAAGCACAGTAAATGAGGGATGGTTATTACACAGATTTAAGTGGAAGCCTTCTCCATTGTTAAGAGTTTCTAGAAAGTTGGCCATCCTCTGATTCCTAGAACCTAGAGGGGGACACCCTTAAATGTGGACCGTTCCCTTGTTAAATGTCTTTTATAAAAGGATAACTTTTAGGTTTTCAGAGCTTTTCCTTTGTTGTTTCTTGCTTCTTTTGTGATTATTTGTGTCCCCTTCACCATTTCCCTCCCCTCTACCTTCAAAACACCACCAAAAATGTCCCGTAATTTTTTTGGCTTGTTGGATGTTTATTAATAAACATTAAAAAGCTAGCGGACACTAGCTTTTGAAAGTGTTGTATATTATTGTCTGCTATGCAAATGTCCAGTATTTTTTTTTATTGACTTATTTTGCTGCACGTAATTCTCTCCTAATTTCCTCCATCTTGTTGAAAATGACTGCATTTCATTCTTTCATATGTCTGTATAATACTGTATGGTGTTTATATACACATCATCTTCATCCATTCATCTGTCTATGGACAGTCAAGATCTTCCATGTCCTAAATATTGTAAGTAATGCTGAATATAGTTTTTTTTAAGATTTATTTATTTATTCATACAGAACTGTGTTACAGGCCAGAGATGCAAAGGGTGAGAGGATTCACCAGAGACAGAGTGGGGAGCAGAGCAGGCTGACTGACGAAGTACACTGTAGAGGGGAGCAGCGGGTGGGTCAGGAGAGGCCGCGCCATGCCGGTCACCTCCGGGTCACCTCTGGGGCAAGCGGGATCGAACTCATGCAGAAGTGGCTTAAGCTGCTTAGGGCTGAGCTTTAACCCACTATGCCACCAGGGAGGGCCCTGAATATAGTTTTTTGGTTGATCATATTCGGTGGCTATATGCGCAGGAGTGGGATTACCGGGTTGGATAGTATTTCCATTTTAGCTTCTTAATGAATCCAGATTGCTTTCATTAATGGTGTACCAGTTCATATTAGTATCAACAGTGTACGAGGGTACCTTTTTCTTCATGTTCTTTTAAACATGAACATTCTTTTAAACATAAACATTTTTTTTCACATTTTTTTTTTTTTTGCCTGGATAGCCTCTTTAGGGTATTGTGTATTTATACCTGCTGCTCATTTATTAAATAGGTTATTTTTTTTCAATTGTTGACTTATTTTAGTTTTTTTACATATCTTGCATAGAATTACCTTACAGCCATACGTTATATGCATATATTTTACCATTTTAGTATGGTGTCTGTTTCATTGTCTTGTTTTCTTTTTGGCTATATAGAAAAATTTTAACTTAAGATAATAGCAATTGTTTATTTTTGTTTTTAATTCCTTTGCCATAGGGATTGCTCCCCAAAGATATTTTTATTGTTGATATGGAATGTATTGCCAATGTTTTCTTCTCTTTATTCTATTGCTGCAGGTTCTTATTTCTAAATGTTTACTGTAGTTGACGTTTATTTTTGTGTATAGTATTAGAGCGTTATCACAATCATTCCTTAAGGTGTGGCTTTTTGATTTTCTCAGTACTATTTTTTTTGTGTGTTTGTTTTTTGAGCAGTATATTTTGTTTTTACTTTTGTCATAAAAAAGGGATAGACAATGAACATTCACCATATATAAGAAGTATGCATGAGAATGTGTAAGGGGTTTAGATATTGTCAGCAGTGTGACTTTGGTAGCTGGAAAACAGAATAAGGTATCATTGGTTTACAACATTGTGTGTGTGTGTGTGTGTGTATAGCATTGGTTTACAACATTGTGTGTGTGCGTGTATATATATCACTTCATTCTCTTCTTTTATAATAGATATTTAAGCCAGATATATGCCCGAGGGATTCCTTTATAGGTTTTCTGCTTTTTCTTCCAGACAGCTTCAGTATTCTTTGTTGTAACTCTTGGAAGTTTTTTGAGTATGTGTCTTGGTATAGGTCTTACTATGTTTAGGTAACCATGTGTATTTCTTTTTTTTTTTTTTTTTTTTTTTATTTTTTATTTTTTTTTTAAGTTTTTTTTTTTTTAAAGATTTATTTATTTATTCATACAGAACTGGGGTACAGGCCAGAGGCTCAGGGGCGGTGAGAGGCTTCACCAGAGACAGAGTGGGGAGCAGAACAGGCAGATCGACGAGGTACACTGCTGAGGGGAGCAGTGGGCGGGCCAGGAGAGGTCTGGCTCGCCATGTGGTCTCCTCCGGGGCAGGCAGCAGGCGGGAATCGAACTCATACGGAAGTGGCTTCAGATTCTCAGTGCTGTGCTTTAACCCGCTGCGCCACCAGGGAGGGCCACCATGTGTATTTCTTAACCTCATGGACTTTTATGTTTAGTTCTCTCTGCTAAATAATAGAAGTTTTTCCTCTGTTATTTCTTTGAGTATGTTCTTTTCTCTTCTCTCTCTCTTACCCTTTGGGATACCCATTATTCTTTCATTGTCTTTCAACACAAAATGAGATAATTGTCAAAGTGTTTCTTTATTTTTTAAATTCATATTTCTTGTTCTCCTTCCACCTGTATTCTACTCGCATTAATGTCATGAGACCACTGATTTGATTTTCCATATGAACTATTCCACTTCCATAGCATTCTCCAAATTTATTATCTCCTCTATAGATCTTTTTACATACTGCTTCTCCTTTCTTCTCATTTTATGCTTCATTTTGTCTATTCTTCATTTTATTTCTCAAGCTATTCACTTATTTTTCTCAGTTTTCTTTAACTTTCCTTCTATTTCTTTGACATTCTTTATCATGGTAATTTAAAACTCAGTATCTGACAGGAAGGATATAACTTCTTTGTCTTTGTAGTTGGATTGTGGGGATTTGTTCTCTCTTTCTCTGGTGAACAGTTCCTTGAGAACTCAAGGTGCCATATATTGTATTTTTCTTTCTGCTCATTTGCTATTTGAAGGATGCAGAGCTTTCTTTTTCTGCAGATACTGCTGTGGTTCCCCACCCCCCCCCTTTTTTTAATAACATTTCCTGGTTTTGCATTTCAGTACTTTGTATGACAGGGAGAACAGATCTACAGCTGCTGGGTCAGGATTGGGTGGGTGCCTGTAGGTGCCCAGTCACTGGTGAAGTTCTTGTGTGGGTGTGGCTCATGTTTGTAGTACCATTGATAGCCATCCTGTTTCTGAATTTCCACACCTGTGTCTCCACACTCTGTGGATTGGGCTTTTTAGTACCAATTCACTGCATCAACTTGAGTTCTGTGGGAATGTGGGAGGGGGAACTTAATCCAGTGCTGTCATTTTCACTGTGGGCCCTGCTTGTTTGGCTCACCCCATCTCCTCAAGTATCTTCCCTCATTTAAGGGTATACTTTCACACCAATCAGCTCTTCCCTTCCCAGAGCTGCCAGGCAAGCATTGGAACAGACTTTCCACGTGCCTTAAGATGTGTAGTTTTGAATTTTCTCACTATCTTTTCTATCATGGTTGGTGCCTGTCTCTCATGTCCAGGAGGTGCCGGAGTTGTACCCAAGGCACAAGGTCCTCTGGGTCCAGTGACTCTCTGGGCAACTAGAGAGTATACCATTCTCCTGAGACTTATGAAGGTACTGTTTTTTTTTTATGTATGTATGTATTTCTTATGTATTATTTATTACAGTGGCTATCTTTTCCCCATTTGAAGGTCTTAGGTGGTAGTATGTACACGGATTTATTTCTGAGGTTTTGATTCTCTTCTATTGGTCTATGAATCAGTTTTGTACTAATACCATATTGTTTTTAAAATCCTGTTGCTTTATGGTAAAGTGTGACGTTAGGTACCAAGATACTGCCACTTCTTTTCTTTTTAGAAATTGCTTTTGCAATTCGAGGTCTTTTGTGGTTCCATATACATTTCAGTATTTTTGGTTCAGTTTCTTTGAAAAATATTACATATTTTTTGGTGGGCATTGCATTAAATTTTTACATGATTTTAGGTAGGATAGTAATTTTGCTTATATAGATTCCCCCCATTTGTGAGCATTGGATATCTTTATCCTTATGTTGCTAAGTCCACTAAGCACAGATACAAGTAGAAAAGTATTAATTGAGACCTATTTTATATCCATGTAGAATCTATAAAAGTGATAGTAGAGAGATGCACTAAGAAACCCCTAAGGAGAAAGACTGTGAGAGAGAAGAGGACAGAAAGTAAGGAAAAGTAGACAACAGAGTAGTGATAACTAGCTCCTGTAATTTCACTGAGCAAGAATATCTAGCTGGGGAGAGAGGCCCATGCAGTGAAATGCCAGTATATATACAACTTCTAAGCTATGTATCCTTGCACAGTTTTGCATATATTTAGAAGAAGGTTTTGTTTTGTTTTGTTTTGTTACTCCAGTGGTACATTCCACTCATTCCAAAGAAAGTGCCTTTTATAACTCAAAGTCTGTCTGGACTCCTGGCAGTGGCTGCCTTAGCAGGATGGGAAAAGCTGAAACTTTTGTCTGCTGTTGGAGAAGGCAGTAAAAAGCAAGTTGATTTACTGTGTTAAACCTGGGGCTCATTTGGTTATTGAAGAAAATGTAATTCTGAGCATAAGGTTGAAAGACAAAAAGAATGAAGGTCTATTGTATGATTAAGGCAGTGCTGTCTAGTAAAACTTATTGAATGATGGGAATGGTCCGTAACCTGTACTCTTCAATATCATAGCCTCTTCCCTCACCTGCCTATTGAGTGCTTAATAATATATGGCTAGTACAACTAAGGCAATAACTTAAGTACAATTTTATTTTCATAAATTTGCGTTTAAGCAACTATATGTGACTAGTGGCCACAGTCACTCTTGAGCCCCTAGAAGTGTATATAACATGACTGAGGAATTGAATTTTAAGTTTTACTCAGATTACATTAATTTGAATTAAATGTTTATGGCCACATGTGGCTAGTGGTCTACTGTGTTGAACAGCACAACTGCAAGAGAGACTGAACTGGAATCACGGCTCAAGCTATAGCTGTGTTCAGGCTAAGACCCCATACTGATTGATACCAGTGAGTGCTTACATCCTGAATGTTGGGCCTCTCCAGTAAACTTTTCTTGATTGGTTCCAGAATGGTCGAAACTTCTGTTTTATATATCTCAAGCAGGATTGGCGTAGTTCTCCCTTGGTAAACTCATTGTACTAGGAGAAAGGACCTATACCCCCCTGGAAATTATCAGTTCTTGTCTGATTACTACATACGTAAAGCTCACCATTGGTAATCTTCCACTACATATGCTAAGCTTCCTATTAGCTTCTTAGAATTTTACTTTGGAAAATGAAGATATAACTATGGATCACTGGACATTCTATAATGTGAAAGAGACTAAAATACTGAAAGGCTTTGATCAAAACAGAATGGGCAGCATGGGAATTTACATAATGTTTGAATGATGCCTTCTAAAAATGAGAGAATATAACTGTATACTCATATTAACAGTCAGTTTTGACATAGAAAAAAGTTTAAAATACCCAAGGTCTCACAAATTTTAACTCTCCTATATCTTTTGTTTGGAAGCTAGCAGAGGGTGTGTCTTATCAAAATGAGGGAATAAATTAAGAGGAGTACTTTATATCTAAGAATGACAGTTGTAGGTACAGTCATTGAGATTGGTTTTTCTCAATATGCTCATGGTAGGTCTCTTCAACCAGGTATAACCTTGATATGAACCAAAAGTCAGTTGAGCCCCTGTGAGCCTTGGGAATGTCTATTCCCATTGCTTAAATAGTGTAGATTATTTTAAGAGCAAGGTAGACTTGAGGAGCTTTTTGACCTTTGTTTTTTTTCCTAAGTGAGGAAGCAGCCACAGCTCCCCTTTTTATGGTCTAGAATAAAGTAGTTTATCCAAATGTTGATTCATCAGTAAACATATTTTGTTTACTCTGAGTGAAGATGAAGTTACCCGTTTTTGTCTGTCATGGGAATGCTCACTTCTCTCCTCGATGCCCCAGTTCTTATACACCAATAAGCATCCTCATCCTTCTCCATTGTTCTTCATAATTTATAACCAAGTAAATTCTCCATATGTATATTATTAAATTTTGGCCTTCTCTCCTACTCATCTGTCCGATATTAATTTGTTGGTTCATTTAGTCTCAGAACAACCATAGTTGGGATGGGGGAATTTTCTCCTGTGCCCTGACATATGAATAGTCATAGAGAGCAATCAGTTTGGATCAGGGGAGTTGTTTCCAAAAGAAAAAAGAAGAAAGAAAGTGATAGATGTGTATTTGTCAACATGGAGAAATATTTTATAGTTTCATCAGAGCAAAGGAATAAAATGGGACAATTACTTTAGGAAAGACCACACTTTAGAAGAGAAAGGAAATGTAATCTAAATGTCACTGAAGAATTGAATTTTAAGTTCTGTATGGTTCATTTGTCAATATTTTCTTTGTGATAAGAATGCAAATATTGTAATTTGATTTAATGAAAAATAGTTGTCTGGGTGGAAGAGAAAACTTGCCTTGCTGCTCTGAATCTTCTCTTCCTAGTCATCAAAGAAATTAACATCAGACAGATTAGTAGGAGAAAAAGAGCACATTTAATTTTGTGTGCATGAAGTATTTACATAGCTATAAATTTAAAAGTAAATGAGACAGGATGGTATTTTATATCTTGAGCTAAGGAATGGAATAGGGCCAGATGCATTAAGGAGAGAGGAGGGGTTCTCATATGACAAGGAGGTGGTCACTCATTTGACAAAATCATATGCTTTAGATATCTGCCTTGCCACAAGGTATTTTTCTCTGATAAAAAGTTTATTTCTGGAGGTCACCCTAAATCTGGGTAGTCTTCAGTTCTTTAGGGTAATGGTACCTGTTTCTTCTGAGGCCACAGGGTCTCTTACTGACCTGGGTGTTACATACCAAAGTAACACATATTAGAAAAGACTGCTCTGGACATCTTGGAATAAGCCTGTGTGAACATTTAGGTGTTTCCTTTACAGTTATAGTAATAGCACAGATTTATATAGTACTTAGCTTAGCTGCTAACACTGTTGAAAATGCTTCATGTGCATTAATTCATTAAATTCTTATGACAATGCTATAAAACAGGCTGTCACACAGCTCATTTTATATATGAAGAAACAGAGGCAAAGAAATTAAATGAGTTGTCCAAGGTCACATCACTAGCATCAAACCAAGGAGTTTGACTCCAGAGTCCATGTTATAACCACTATTCCAAGTTTCCTAAGAGGGAGGAGGATGTATGTTTATGTGAGTTGGTAGGGGTTGGTAGCCATGCTACTGATGATAGATGATGGTTGTGGTAGTGTTATGTGAGAAATCTAAATCCTCATCTTTCTTAGTAAGACTTTATAAATTAAATTTAAGTTGAGAAAAATAGCATAACCATGTTATTTATTAATCTGTAGTTCAATAGCAGGAAACCAACTTAAAAGAGCTGAATGTGAGTAGTCGGTCTTAGAGTTTGAAAGGGGTAGAAAGAGGATTAATATTTTGTTATCAGTTTCATAATTATTTAAAAGCTATGTACATGATTTACTGTTGTAAAAATCAAATTTATGAAAGAAAAGAATTCAGAATTATTTGGTAGAGAAAGATTTTTATTTTTACTTTAGATAACTTAGAGGGCAACAACTTTTGTAAATCTGAGTTATCATTTTTTAAATTTTACTCCCCTGCATAGCATTTTACCCTCCCTATTCCTTTTTTCCCCTCACCAGTGAAAACATTATTGTTGTACTTGAATTGACCAGTATTTCATTATTTAATATTTTATTCTAACTGGCCAACCATTACACCTTCAGTTTTCTTTCTCCAGAATTTATATATATATTTTTTGGCTAGCATTCTTCTACTGTATAGACCAAAGAGTATAGTGGTTCCAAGGCAACTTTAAAGGCAACTTTCATGAATTGCAAATTTTATATTGTTTGGCGATTGGTGTGTTGTGCTTTTAAGAAGAAAACACTTATGAAGTACAGAAAAATAAATGCACATTTTTCTAATAAAAATAGAGAAGGTCAGGGCACTCCCTAGTGGCACAAGATATTAAAGCACTGTGAAGCTATCAGTAGCCACTGTAGCACAAGTTCAATCCTCAGCCAGAGAGGTGACCCCCAGCCAGGGAGGTGACCCACTTGGCGTGGCAGACCTCTTTCGTCTCACCTGCTGTTCCCTTTAGCGCAGTGTATTTCAGTCAAACTTTCTATTCTGTTCCCAACTCTGTCTCTGGTGAATCCAGACACTCACCCCACACACCTCTGGCCTACACCCCAGTTCTTGTATGCATAAATAAATAAATATTAAAAAAATAAAGAAGGTCATGGAATTTTAGTTGGTATCATTTTGTGCGACTTTTTTACCTGGTGTCAGAAGTGCAGATTATTTAAATATTCAAAGTAGCATATTGTGATGTCTCAGTAATTTTAGATTATTAAAATGCTTAAATATATTGGTAGATGAAACTTACATTTGGACTTATATAGTAAAGTCTGTTTTTCCATTATTTATTAACAGATATGTTTAAAGGGTAAAGTACACATATTTAAATACTTAAATATCCAAGCATGTTGCAGAATGGATAAGAAACCAGATTCTTTGGACCTTCCATCATTGAGTAAAAGAATGCCTTCCCAGCCTCTCACAGACAGGTAATTTTATAATGACTTGGTGTCATCTCTCTGTATAAAAGGAATTACTGGTCTTGGGTGTCCTGAATATATGTGGGATGATTGGTCACTGTATTAACATCATTAATTGACTGAAGTAAAATATCAACATCATAGAGTAAACTTCTGTGATACTAGAACAAATTTTGTTTTTTTTTTCTGAATTATTATTAAACTTTTAGTAGTAAATTGTAAACACTTATGGTTCATAAACACTAATTTCTTAACACTTGAGTGCTGAATTTTCTTTTTTATTAATTTATGTGTCTTTGTATTCACAAATAGAATTTGACTTTGATCCAAGGTTAGTGGAAGAACAAGACATTTTGGGGTACCTTCCTTGCTTTCTTAATATCCTTTATCTTTTTATTTATGGATCAAAAATTGCTCATTATTGAAGTGCTGTATGATACTGTTTTATTATGATAACTTTGAAATGGTAGATTTGCTATTTTGTTTTTAGGTTATTGTTTCAAGATATTGTTTGGTCTGAAAGATTTTATGAAAACTTAATTCTCCATAGTGCTAAGGAAAATAATTTGAATGGGGTGAGAATACAGAGAGACTGTGCCACTTCCTAAAATATTTCAAGGTTTGTCATTGTATTTATGACAAAGTTTAGACTAATTGGAAATGTAGTATTATAAGTACTATTGTTAACTTAGTTAACAGTGCAAGTTCTTGAATTCCAAAAAAGAACTGTTTCTTGAATATTTCTGCTGCCTAAGTAGAATCAAATATATTCTAAACATTACAGTTAGGACCTAAAGATTATTTTATTTAATATTATGAACTATAGTGAACCAAACAATTCTATAAGAATTGGAATAAATTAGTATTTTAATCTGTTAGTCTGCTTTATATTTATTTTAAAATGAATATACTTTAGTAAAAGCATCCATTATATTAGTCATTTATTTATTTTACAAATATCATTAGAACACCAGCTGATTGACTCAGAGTACATTTTATTGAATGATAACATATTGCTTATGGAGTAAACAATCAAGTGGAGGAATAAGTCAGTCAATGAACAAAGCTAGGAAACAGAATAAATGTGCACATATACACATGCATATATAATTTCAAACTGGGTAAGTGCTGCGAAGGAAAGGAATATCTATCATTCAATAGTGTGGCTTATGGATTATCTTTGGGAAGGTGAAGTTTTATGTCAGGACCTGAAAGAGAAAACCCAGTAGTGTAAAGAATGAGGGGAAGAACATCTCAGCAGGGTACCTTAAGTTCAGAAGAAATCTGGTATATTAAACAGAAGCAAAACAAAAAACTTAAAGGAAGTTAGTGTGGTTGGAACAGAGTGAGACAAGTCGATTTTGGAGAGATACTGAGGGCCCAATTCATGTGGGGACTTTGGAGGCTGTGGTAAAAAGCGTGAATTTTATTGGAAGTACCAGTTGAAGTAAGGGGATAATATCAGATTTATATTTTAACAAACTTTTTTTGACACTTCAACTTGTTAGAATTAAACAGAAGTAGCAGCACAGAGTCCAGTTAGGTTACTGTAGTACAGCTGAAATCAAGGGGTCTTGTATAGGATGATTGCAGTAGAGATGAGAAGTGGACAGTATTGAGATTTATTTTGGAGATGGTCTATATCAGTGTCATTTAATAGAAATGTAACGCAAGTTACATTAATTGTAAATTTCTTGTAACCAATTAATAAAAAATTAAAAAGAAACAGAAAAAAAAGCAACATTTACTGCATGCCTGAACTTGGACTAACCACAATTCAAATGCTCAGTAGCTAGTGGCTACTGCCTTAGACAATAAAGGTCTATAGAGTATACTTTTGAGTTGGCTGTCCAGTGTCCTCATCTCCCATCCAACAGTCCATATTGAAATTCTTAGAAAATTTTTATGTGTGCTTTTTGCTTTCACACACATGCTCTTGGTTATATATGTGCATCCTACTACCTTGAATACCTGTCTAGGTATTGATTATTTTTTGTAAGCTTTGTATTCTACATAGATTTGTATTATGGTAGTTAGGCATACCAGCATTTAGAGTTATACATAAATGACTTTGAAAGCATTTTCTGATTCTTAACAATGCACTTGTTTCATATTATGTCTGGTACTCAGTTTTCTTTTATGTAAAAAGGAAAATAATCGCAGGGATGCTGTCAATTAAATGAAATAATGTGTGGTGTATTTAATGCCTTGTCTATACTAAATACCCAACAAATAGCTTGCTATTATCATTTCATTAATTACAGATACACAGAAGTATTTTAGTAAATTAACTAATTATTGTGTAGTGGAATCAGATGGATTTCAGCTCTAATCATGTTTTAACCTCTTCATTCCTGTGTGGCCTGTTTTATTTTACTCTCTGAGCCTGTTTCTTTACTTAAAAGTTAGTAAGATTCCATTAGCTTGTGATAATGAAATATGTGTATGCAAACAAGTTCAGTAAATGATACTCAATAATTACTATAATTTTCCCTTTGGGAAGTTAACTTTTGTAAGTTTTATTATCCTCATTTGTAAAGAAGAGTAATAGTAACATGTAAGTTGCAGAATGTAAATACTATAAATAAAATATGAGATACACCTAGCATAGCACCTAACACAAAATAAATGCTAGCAATTATTGTTTCTTTTCATCCTACAAGACTTAAGTTCAGATGACTTTCTTGGATGGGTTCTTTTCTAACCTTACCATGGAGAATTATTTGACTTATCTTTTCCTATTATATTTACCTTTGTCATAATGATCAAATTTATAGCTTGCTTATTGTATGGGCTGAGGGAACATTATTTTTTATTTCCTCTAAACTCAGGTGTTCAGCTTAGTGTCTGACACTTAGAATGGGTTCCTGAGTACATTGATATACTCCTGAAAAGGATAAAAATCAAAATTGGAGAGGAAATAAGAGTATCGTGGTTAAGATCATGGCTGTTAGTGTTAGATCATCTTGGTATCAAATTTAGACTGCCATGTGCAAGTTGAATGTCTGTGGGTAAATTGTACACCACCACCTAGACTTAGTTTCCTCATCTATAAAATGAGAAAACCTCACAAACCTAGTAGACTTTCACAAGGAATAAATTTAAACCACTTAGACCAACTGGCACATAATGGTCAATGTAGATTGTATAGTAAATTTGCAAATTAAAGTGAAAAATACTTTGCAACTTGAATGGTATACTGCATAATTTAGAGATTTGCAAGGAAAGCTCTGTAACAAAACAACTGTTTATTCAATGTTTTCAGACTTTATTTTGTGTTCTCTTCATAATCATTAGATGAACATTATTTATAATGTTGAAGTATATTTTTTAAAGCTAATGAAGAAAACCTGAATTAAAGCTAAATACCATTTCAAAGTGCCATGGTAAATTTTGCCATGCCAATAGAAATACAAAACAAAACAGGTTAGATGGTTTTCTATTCGGATTGTCTACTATTTTTGAATTTCTGAGGGGAAGGGTAAGTTGTTAACAATTGGCAGTTTACAACAGAAAATGTATTACATGGGGATGTGGACAAAGTTGTTTTGTGAAAGATTTCTAATATTTACCCCCTCATGTCTTTAAGATTCTTATATATCAGCAGTGTATCTTCTATATTATCTAGGAAAATTTTAAGTTAGTTCTGTGTTTTCTTTTTTTTTTTTTAAAGATTTATTTGTTTATGCATACAGAGCTGGGGTATAGGCCAGAGGTACAGGGGTAGTGAGAGGATTCACCAGAGACAAAGCGGGGAGCAGAACAGGCAGACTAACGAAGTACACTGCTGAGGGGAGCAGCAGGCTGGTCAGGAGAGGTCTGCCGCGCCATGTGGGTCACCTCCGGGATGGGTGGGGATTGAACTCATGTGGAAGTGGTTTTAGCTTCTTAGTGCTGTGCTTTAACCCGCTGCGCCACCAGGGAGGGCGCAGTTCTATATTTTCTAAGAAGAAAACCCTAGCTACCTTGGAATTTCTATTTTTATAGTATGGAAGATTTTTATCCAAATAAAAATCATGGTCCTGACTCTGGAATTGGAAGTGATAATGGAGAGAAACGATTATCTACAACAGAAGTGAGTCCTTTCTGTTCCTTTTTATTTAAGAATTTTATTAGAGCTTTGAGAGAGACATTTGAACATACTTGTTTGTTTTAAATTTTGATTTGAATTATGACCATCCTTACCTTTTATGACTTCAAATGAAAATGGATGTGAATATATTTTTTAAAAGATTTATTTATTTAAAAAAATATATGTTCATACAAAAACTTGTAAAAAAAAAGGTGTTAAAAAAAAAAAGAAGATGCAGTACATATACACAATGTTATCTACTCAGGTATTAAAAAAAAAAAAAAGGTGAACTCCTCCCATTTGCAACATGGATGAACCTGGAGGAGATAATGCTAAACAAAATAAATCAGAAGGAAAAACAAATATCATGTGGTTTTATTAATATGTGGAATTTAGAGAAGAAAAACAAAGAACTGAACAAAAACTAAGTCAATAACAAACACTGGAATCTGACTGTGAGGCTGAGGCTACAGACAGCAGAGGAGAAGGTGATAGGAAAGTTGGAGGGTACCCAGTGGACAATGAGGAGGACTATAGGTGCCCTGGTGGTAGAGGTGGTGTCTTACCATACATCTGAAGGAGTGTGTACCTTTACCCCTGGATCATATACAGTGTTGTAAATCAAAAAGCCATGAATAAAATAATTATAATTGTGAAAAAAAATTATTTATTTGTGCATACAGAACTGGGGTACAGGCCAGAGGTTCAGGGCGGTGAGAGGATTCACCAGAGACAGTGGGAAGCAGAAGAGGTAGATCGATAAAGTACACTGCGGAGGGGAGCAGTGGGCGGGTGAGGAGAGGTCTGCCACGCTATGTGTGTCACCTCCGGGGCAGGCGGGGATCAAACTCATGCTGAAGTGGCTTTAGCTTTTTAGTGCTGTGCTTTAACCCGCTGTGTCACCAGGGAGGGCACAGACATGAATTTTTTTTTAAAGATTTTATTTATTTATTCATATGGAACTGGGGTATAGGCCAGAGATGCGGAGAGTGAGAGGATTCACCAGGGACAGAGTGGGGAGCAGAACAGGCAGATGGACGAAGTACACTGCTGAGGGGAGCAGCGGGCGGGCCAGGAGAGGTCTGCCGCGCCATGTGGATCTCCTCTGGCGCAGGCAGGGATCGAACTCATGCGGAAGTGGCTTAAGCTTCTTAGTGCTGTGCTTTAATCAGCTGTGCCACCAGGGAGGGCCAGACATGAATGTTTTTAATAGCAAATCAGTAAACTTCCAAATACTAGTTTTGCCTTGACAATTGGACATGTAAAGCAGATATTCTTCACTTTATATGTGAAATTGAAATAATGTGTTTAAAATACTTTGTTTTTACCGTGCTTTTTCATTTCAGCCTTCAGATGATGACACAATCAGCCTTCATTCTCAAGTTTCAGAATCAAATAGAGAGCATACATCAAGAAATGACAGCCACTCAATAGGAAGCAAACCTGAATTTCAGAAAGGTAATTCATTTGGTGTCTGCCATATTTATTTCATGTACATAGCCATTAAGATTGGAACTTTTTTTGAAAATAGGCTTTGAAAAATTACAGTATCTGCAGCTAACTCTTAAACTGAGAAAATAGACTTTTGCTCTAAGCATGAGTCAGAGCACACTGCTTTAGCATTCATATTTTCTAATAAGTAATCTATACTTAGACCAGGAGGTGTATGATTTTATTGATCCCAACACAGAAGATGTAGCAGTTCCTGAACAAGGAGATACACATATTGGATCATTTGTCTCTTTCTTGAAGGTAAAGACAACTTTGAACAAATATTAGTAAGATGTTCTTGATCTCCAAAAAGTTTGGTCCATGCTTTTTTAACGATAATTTTCCTTTATGTAAGGGAAAAGAAAAAGTTCCTGAAAAATCTCAGAAAAATGAAGAATTGGGAGATGAAAAAAGGTAAGCACACATGAATTCTCAAACTTGACATATTTGTTAGATATTCCTACTTGAAAGAGTACTTGAAAGAATGTATTTTTTTGTTCATTTACTTATGTTTAGAGAGTTAATTTGTAATTATTTTTTTCTGTCTGTAATCCTCAGTTAAATTGAAAAATCGAGTAAACATTTAAAATTGAATGTTGTATGTACGTTATTTCCCCCTCCCTCCAAAGTATAGTAAAATTTGCTATTGTTACTCCTGAGGTGGACCATACCTTCACATCTATACATTGCTTCATTCGGTCTCTTTAATAGACTTGGAATTTCAAATTTCTGAGACTTAGGAATTCTGACTTTTGGTATGATGCACTTTCCATTTTGTTAGACTGGTGGACTGGTGATAGATATTTTATAGGTATTTATTTCTGTATTTTATTAAAATAATTGCACTTTGGAACTATTCAGTATTATTTATCATATGAAGTGATGGACTATGATCTATCACATATTTCTGTCTCTCATTCAACTTACTTCTTAGGTGAAACTTGTTTAATAGTTACTATATATCAGGATCTGTATGGTGTGTTTTTCCGTGTTTCTAATTCAGTCGTCACTAAATCCTGAAGGTAGTTACTGTCTTCACTTTTATAGATGGGGAAGGTGAAGCTCAGAGACTACAAAGATTCTTTCCTAGAACTCCTTAGGTATTGTGTGCTAAATCTAAGGCGTGAACCTAGTTTTCTGTGATATTCAAGGTTTTCTCTATATAATGCTTCTTCTAAATGATCTCATTGATAACTTTTAAGGAATCATTAGTTCAGCATCTCTGGTATCCCATAAGGAGGTACAATGGTTTATCTTTTACTCTTTATATTTTATTATTTACTTCCTAACTTTTCTAAGTGAACGTAGTTGTCTAAGCTTGAGAGTAAAATTAGTTAAATTACCAGTGGCATGCAAGATATGGTAAGAATGCAATATCTTTGGGTTTCATACTTTTTTTTTTTCCAATAAAGGCAATACCTTGGGATAAAATTACTGGAGTTTAGAGAACAGTTTATTTTAAAATTTCTTCAATCTCTTTGAATAAGAATTACATATGTTAATTAACATTTTGGGGAAATTTTGTTAATCTTATTGAAGCTGTTTTGTACTTCCTCCATTTAAACATTTTAAATAGAGATTTTAAAAGATTTATTTATTTGTGCATACAGAACTGGGGTACAGGCCAGAGGCTCAGGGGCGTCAAGAGGCTTCACCAGAGACAGAGTGGGGAGCAGAACAGGCAGATGATCAAAGTACACTGCTGAGGGGAGCAGCGGGTGGGTCAGGAGAGGTCTGCCACACCATGTGGTCACCTCGGGGGGATCGAACTCATGCAAAAGTGGCTTTAGCTTCTCAGTGCTGTGCTTTAACCCACTGCGCCACTAGGGAGGGCCTTAAATAGAGATTTTTAAAATCAAAATGAATAAAGTGATAAAGGCAGGGTAGTTAAACAAAAATATTTTTAAAGTGCTGTATTTATTTATAATGATAGGTCATTTAGAATTCTGTAGTCTATTGTATTCAAGACTGGAGAATGTAAATGTTAATTTATTGTGGCCATTATACATTTTAGAAATTACAAAGTGGTAATGCATTTCATTTTGTTGGCATTTGTTATATAAATATGACTAGTTTGCCATATTTCCTATTAGATAGTGAGGATATTTATTAAATGTTTCTTATAATTTTAATGTTTTAAATACACAAGGACATTAGGATTTTAGATTTCATGTGGTATTAAAAATAAAAGTGATTTCTGCTTCTAGAATCTGGCATAAAATAGATTTTGGATAACCATGCTTATATTACCTTTTAGACTTGAAAAAGAACAATTTCTTGCAGAAGAAGAAGATGATGATTTGAAGGAAGTAACTGATTTGAGAAAAATAGCTGCCCAGTTATTGCAGCAAGAGCAAAAGAACAGGTATTTTTTTTTTCAGTAATGAGATTTAAATAAGAATATTTTATAATTATTAAATCTGATTATTTAAAAAGCATCAAATAAAATACATGAAGGTTTAATTTAAATAATAGGACCATTCTTAAAATCTATTTCAAGGGAATAACTACTAAAAGACCCTAAGAAATAAATAGGAGAGAAATGTAAAGTTATATTTGCAATTAGTAGAATATTTATACTCACATAGTCATTATATTTAATTTTTATTTAGCTATCACTTTTTTTATTCCTATGTGCTGTATTCCTGTTAGCTTACTGCCATTAGATATGTTGTAAACATTTTTTTCCAAGTACATGTCACATGTATATGGCTTATATCTGATCCCAAATTACTTGGGATATCATTAAACTCCTTAGAGTTGAATTATACAACAGTTGATTAAATTAGTGTGATAGTATAAGACTCACAGGTTTGCACTGGCCCTTTTCTTGGTTAACTAGCATTTCTTCCTTCAACTAGGTTTTCTGCAAATTCAAATCACTGACACAGAGGAGTGTATATGAGCATAAAATCCGTGCAAGTCAATTTTTGCCCTTAATTGCTTAATTTAAAATACTAATTTGTCGATCACTTGCATGTATATACAAATTTGGGGTTAGATTTTTATTCCTTCATATGTGCACATACTTCACTCACCCTCTACATTCCTCTGTGCCATTGTCCTGTCCCCTTTTTTTACTATCACTTCTTCCCTACCTTCTACTCCTCTGCTTATAAAATCAATGCAAGTTCATTTTTAATAAGGAAAATTTCTGTTTTTGTCATCATCCTGTACTGATAGTAACACATTTATCATTTTGAAATGTTTTGTCTGAGATATTTTGGTTTGAGAAAATTAAAGAATAATAAAAGAAGAATTTTGCTTCATTTAATGTGGTAATTAGTATTTCATTTATTTAAAGCAATAAATGTTTATGAATCACATAGTTTTGTTAGGTTTGGCATGTTTAAAATTTAAATATCCTAGTATTAGCTTAAATGTTTTGAAACATAATTACTATTAAAACTTATCAAATGACAAATGTGTGTATTTAGTGGACACTTTTTAAAATAGTCTTTTTTGCATAGCTTTCTCATTCCTAGTTCACATTTATCTTCTGTCATATTGTTCTGTCACCTTTTTCTGATACTCTTCTAATCTTTTCCTATGCTTCATTTTGAATGGGCCTTTTATTTTACTGACTTCTTAAGATGTTTTGCGTGTCCCCCCCCCATTATAATCAAACTATCAATCACCTTCATCTGTTAAGACATTTGATGTAGCAAACTGCCAGCTGCTACTGATAGCTTGAAAAGTAATTGTGTTTCTATCACCCCTACCTGGCAGGTATAAGAATTTATCATTATAGGGAGAGAGTATTACCTTTAAAAGAATTTTCAATATCCATTTCTCTTATTGTGTTAAGAATAACATTTGAGTGCATAAGTTTAGATTTTAATAATGCCTATATAACACTTCTATATTTCCAGTTTCACTGTTTTATTACTAGCTTTTCATCTATCCCTGTGATTAAATGATTAAATTATACTTCTAGTCCAGATACAATAGCAGATGAATAATTACCTCTCATAAGTCTTGTTTTTGCGATCAATTTGTAATCAATACAATTAATACCTAACAGTTTCCCTGTTTCATAGTAGATAGTAATATTGCTGTTGATTAGTTGAGTGCCTGAAAATTAACAAATCTAAAGTTAATTGGAGCCATTTATATGATTAATGTGTTATCTTAAATAGCTTATGCTATTTTCCATGATGCATGTTAATTTGCTTTCTCTTTTCATCCTCTTACTCATATATGAATGCGTTTTTATACTAAATATCGCTATACAGTAACATTAATGTAATAATTGTGTCAGGTTTTTGAAGACATTGAAATGTTTATGATAATTGGTGGTGGGGAGAGAGGTTTTTCTCTGACCTTGGTCCTTTTGGTTGACAAACAAATAAATTGATACAAGACATATTAACTGAAAAAAGATAAATTTTGTATTATAGAAGTTCCATAGAATATAGGACACACCAAATGACGAAAGCATTAAGGTTTATATACTTTTTAGACAATCAAACAATACATTTGTGAAGAACTAAGAGGATGAAGGACTTTTAGGTTTGGATACTTAATTTTGTTAGGAGCTAAGCAGAATTTATTTGCATAGCTAAACAGGCTCTAAATAACTTGTCTATAGCAATAAAAATGTATTTTTACCTTCTACTGCAGTGAGGGAGCCTTTGCATAGGAGATTTAGTTCCTGCGTTTAGGGAGGCAGAATTCAGAATATCATTACTGCATTGGCTTTTTGTCAAGTCATTTTAATTCAAAATAATCAGTATGCCACTTGGCACATCTTGTGGAACCCTACCCTGGACAAGTAACAATGGTCATATAGCAAGGAGTAAGTACATTTTACCTTGCTATAATCTATAGACAATTTAGATTCCTAGCCAATTCTGTTAGTGGCTGAACAAACATCTCAACATTTTTTAAATGTTAGCTTAGTATTTGCTCCATTATATCACTTTTTTTCTTTTTTTCTAAAATACGTTGTTATTGCTTACATCTCTTAGATATATAGATAGATCAAAATGTTAGATTATACTTATATGCACTTGAGTGAGTTGAAAAGCTCAAAACTAATTATAAACCAGTGGTATATAATGAAAAGATAAAATAAATTCAATAGTAATCTTACATAAGGATATATTCCTTGGAAGATTTGATGAAATTTGCACTTTCTCTGGTTGTAGATTTTCTCTTTCACTCTCAATACTATTGTGTTTTAACATTTCAACTTTATTAATGAAGATGCTGAAATGCTACTTAAAATTGCGAGGCAAGTAGGAATTGTAGTGTTTCTTTTTAGGTTTTAACACAAGCTTTATAATTGTTTTGTTAGTGCTGATTTAAAGTAATTTATCTGCAATAAGATTCCCTTGCATATCAGGAAATACCAATTAAGGTCTCCTGCTTTGATTGTATCCTACAGTTCTTTTACCTAGCTACTAGGTGAAGGTAAACACAGTGTTAGGGACTCAGCTAAAAGAAGTCATGCAAGTACTCCAAGACTAGAGACAATTGAAAAATTGATTGAATTCAGTGATGATTTTCTTAAATAGCTGTCCCACTTATTTCATACTATTAAAAAAATCTTCCATTCTTTAGGAAGTTTATACTAATACTTTGTGGATGAAAGTACCCTAAGAGAGAAACAAGAGGATATTGTGTAGAATAATCAAAAAGGTTGGAAAAAGAGATGAACAAGTAAACCACCAAGTAGATAACTCATAAGTGTTCATAGTCTGAAACTTGTTTAGTCAGAAGACTGACCCTCTTTGTATAATTGAAATGCATAGATTAAGCTACTTGCTATTGGCAGCTTATTGTTAAAATTTTTAAAAGCTGATCTTTGTCGCCTCGCAAAATACTGGATTTTTACTTCGTTTTATTTGAATGTATTAAAAGTTCGCCTGACTCAGTGACCTTGTCTATATTAAAGTGATTCCACAAGTCATAACATTACTTGCACTATAATTTTGTGAAATAAAAAAGATTATGTTAAAAATCATTATCTTAAAATCATCATTGCTCTGTATAGTATTTGGCCAAGTGTCATCCATGCTGTTCATGAATTAGAGAAGTGGTAATTTCTCTGTTTCCTTATAATTTGGCCTTATAAATAGATGGTTAGCTGGATTCTTAAAATTCATTTGGTTTATTACCCTAAAGACAGAATTAAAATAAATATGGCTTTTGCAATGAATAGCTTCAGTTGACCAAGTTCTTAGTACAGATTCATTCCTGGTATGAATGAATCGCTCTGTAGTATTTTCTATTATGTCTTTCCTCTTAATGATTACTTTATTTACTTTTAGGTATATCTTCAGTTTTTTACTTATTGGGGAAAGATGTGCTTCGTATAGCTAAATAAAATAATTATGAGAAATTACAATTAAAGTATAATTAAGGATTATGGAAGCAAAATTAGATTTGAGAAGCTTATTATTTTGGTTTAGAATTATAGAAATCATGTACATCATCTGTTTCATGTAATTTTTTTTCTGCTCATGTGAACCTTCCAATATGAAGAGTGTTATTTTAATTTCTAGTTTGTTAAAACTAACTAGGTAGTTCTCTAAACACTTGAAGTGTATCCATTCTTTCTTTTCTGCTTGCTTTACTAATGACTTCCCTGTCCTTTCCCAAAACATCTTACTTCTCCCATCTTTTGGTTTGGTTGATGTACGTGAAATGTGAATACAGACGGAGGCCTTTATGTTATAGAGCATCATTCAGTGAAAAACTCTTCCAGAGGACCAGAGCAGCAGGACGTGCTTCAAGGTATCTAGTGTTTGTGGAAGCCTAAAGTATTAAGGGGCTAGGTTGATGCAGCTAAATTGTATAGTCTTTTGTTGGTAACTGAATTAAAGAAGTGTTTTACTAATTCAGAGTAGATGGCCAGATAACATAGGTGTTAATTTTGACTTGTAATATGACACAGTAAAACATTGAATACCAATTTACACAGCAGACTTTTACATAGGAGAATTCCCAATTACTTAAAATATATTTTATAGGTAAGTGAATGTCAACTTTTTCTTTCTGCTTCCAGGAGATATCACTAGTAACAATGCTAGTAAGTGTGGTGTGGAAATAATTCATAATTTACTGTAGCACAGACCATTGCAGTTTGCTTCCCTGCAGTAATTCTGGGACCCCTTCCAGTGTAGTACTCACTGCTGTCTCTCCTTTTTGAATGTCAATTTTTAAAGATGTATTTTGTTCCTAAGAATCTTAGATAGTTTAGTACCTCAGTTCTGCATTTGGGATTCAGGGCAATTTTAGTGTCTGCCCATACAAAGAAGAATAAAGGTGTAATTAATCTTGACATTGTGTCATGCCAAGCTGTGCTTACTTGTCCTTGCCTCCTCACCCTGACTTCCTCCTAGTGAGGCTCCATTACATCCAAACCAGTATAGAAACTGGATAATCAAAATTGCTTTTTTTTATGTTAACCTTCTTTCTGTGGTTAATAGCATATATGTAGTTCTCTATGTATTGTATTAGTCAACATATAACTTTAAATTGAAATTCATTTCTCATCCATCCTTTTTCTATAGTTGAAGGTTTTATTTTGAATGAAAGTGAGATATTTTACTTTTTATAAAACTAGACTTTAACTATGACAATTAAGTTGCATTTCTATCTAGAGTAAATAGAGAAATATAAGGAATTCATAAATATTTAGTTTAAAAAAGTTAATTACTTTTGTCTTTGATGTTAATACTTAGAATTACATAAAATTATGGACAAACAGTTTTCATATTGTAATTCTTTTTCTGTTTTGGGGAGCAAGGGATTCCTCCAGTACCATTTCATTTGGTTACTAAAAGTTTAATGTACTTGGGTTTTCTTTCTTTTTTAAGAAATGATTTTTAACACCACCTTTACATTTAGCATAAAGGTTTATTATTTAGCTTTTAGCAAATGGTTATGTATTCTATCAATATAACCCTGTATCATTTGCCATGCTGGGAAATCTAAATCTGTCGTGGTTGCTCCTAAATAATCTGCATCTATTTATCTTCTGTCTCAGCCAAAACTTAGATATGCACAGGGCAATAGTGTGACTAGAATATATCTAAGACTCCAGAAAGGTTTTATAAAAGAAACTGCATGAAAGTTGGTGAGCTTCATTATTCCGTAATAGTCAGTGGGCTATAGGCATCTGATCTAAATATTATTAAAATATTGTTTTCTAGCAGAGATCTTCATGGACCAGATGCAGTTTTTGTGGAGATCTTTTATATCTTGTGTGGACTATTCTCTTTAATGTATTTTTGAATTGATGTGTTGATTTGCTTCTAGGATTCTTAACCACTCAACTTCTGTTACAAGAAACAAGCCAAAACAAACTATGGAATGTGAAAAGAGGTATAAAGATATCTTAGTCCTTTAATTTGATATTTTATAAAGAGATTTAATGCTCTGATATGTATATATAAACTGAATAAATGAAATACATTCAGTATGACTAGATAATTTAAAGAGGGAATGCATTTTAGTATGAGTTAAACTTATTGATAAGAAATAAAAAATGCTGATTTGATCTTTTTGTGCTTATACCTACATTTTGTCTCAATGATAGTCATTTTATTCATTTATTAATTCAACAGACATTTTCTGTATTTCTGTTGCTGTCAGAATAATGTGTTCATCATTGTGTTTATATTATTATTCACATTTTCTTTCTTTTCACTTGGGTTTTACTAAAGTTATTTTGATATGCATAAATGGTCTAAGTATACATATATAAATTCCAGAGGATTAGAATACCTTCAAAGCCTCAATTTATTCTCCTTGATGGCTTGAGAATTTGAATACGATTAAACTCCTGAATCACTCTTCTGGGAGTGTAAGGCTCCAAAGCTGGTTTATGGGTATAGAAGTACCTATGCACAGAATGAATAATAATTGTTAAATGTTATATGCATTATTATTATTTTATTTATTTATTTTTATTTTACAAATGTTTATTTTTAAATCATTTTGTACATTTTTTTTCCATCTCAATTGTAATCCACGTGGGTTTCCCATCACCAAGTCACCCGTGTGCCATCACCATAATCCCGTGTACTTCCCCCCCCCCCCATTTTTGATCCCATTCCCCACTCCACCCCCGCAAAATGTCTCTGGTATATGGTTGTTCATTATTTTTGTTATTTTCTCGCCTGGTCCACTATACTCCTGCTATATGCGTTATTTTTTTTTTGAGATTTATTTGTTTATGCATATAGAGCTGGGGTACAGGCCAAAGGTGCAGGGGTGGTGAGAGACTTCACCAGAGACAGAGTAGGAAGAACAGGCAAATCGAGGAAATACACTGCTGAGGGGAGCAGTGGGTGGGTCAGGAGAGGTCTGCCACACCATGTGGGTCACCTTCCAGGACAGGTGGGAATCGAACTCATGCTGAAGTGGCTTTAGCTTCTCAGTGCTGTGCTTTAACCCACTGCACCACCAGGGAGGGCCACATTATGTTTTTTCTTTTTAAGATTTATTTTATTTTTGCATACAAGAACTTGGTGTAGGCCACAGGATTGGGGGGGATGGTGGTGGTGGTGGTGGATTCACCTGAGACAGAGCTGGGAGCAGAACAAGTGGATCGACTGAAGTACACTGATGAGGGGAGCAGCAGGCAAGACAGGAAAGATCTGCTGTGCCATGTGGGTTACCTCCTTGGCCAGGGATCGAACTTATGCTGCAGTGGCTGCTGTGAGCTTCATAGTGCTGTATTTCAACCCACTGCACCAGGAAGGCCCCTGTATTAACTTATTTCTAGTAATATTTGACCCCTGAAATACCCATTATCCTTATGTTTCTTCTTGTAATTAAGTCTAGATTTCTTTTTGTAGGGTTTTGTCATTTTTTTCTGGTCTTGTTTCTCTCTTTATCCAGTTGGATGATTTGTATATATGTGTCTGTTATTTCTGAAATTCTCTTTTCTGCCAGTTTAATTCTGTTTAAAATGCTTTCCATATTTTCTTTACTCATAGTTTCTTTGTGATTTATTTCTCTAGTGAAGAACTTTTTGTTTGTTCCTAGATATCTTTTGTAAGATCTGGTATCTTCCTAATCTGCCTTTGACTTACTTTATAGTAATTAAATCAGCATTTTAATATTGTTATTTTTAAGCTCTGTTAGGTCTCCTTGATGTTTCTCCCTGAACTGTGTCTTTCTAATTTATCATCTTTTGTTCAGATATTCTTTGCTTCTAGGTATGTGTGTTGCCTTATTTTATTTTTGTGGTCAGATGTTGTGGGTTTAATTTTGTGTTTCCTCTATGTTTACCCTGGTAGGGGAAGGAAGGGACACTGGGGCCTAAATACTTAGTGTCAGTTTTGTTGAGAAGTGATGGTGGGTTTAGACTTGTCCACAGGGCTCTACCTGACTCTAGCTGTGGGATCCTGCACTGCCAGACATGGGCACCTAGTACAGAATAGGGCCCTGTGTGCCTCTTAATTGTCTCTTCTGCTGCCACCATTGTTAAAGGGATCCAGACTGTCGGGCACAATGACTCACTTGGATCTGTTCAAGGGAGTGGCAAAATCTCTCTCACCTCTTCTTTCCTCTGCTTGTGATAAAATCTGGCATAATTCTGCCTTAATTCTCTTTACTCTTTTTCTGCTGGGAGTGGGGTTAGGAGACCTTTTCTTGTCCTTGCAGACTGCAGAGCTCACAGAGACTTCCCTTGCCTATGCCCTTGCCTGTGCACACTCCCTTTCCTAGAAGTCTCTCTGGTAAAATTCATTGGGTAGGGCCTTCAGTGCTTGTCCCATAGCCTGTATCATAGGTTAGTATCATAGGTTAGATAACTGCATTTTTGACTGTGATCCCCTTTTCCTCTTTCTTCTCCTTTTCTGCAGCCATGCATTATCCTTATTATCCTTTGTGTAAAACCTCTGTGAAAAAGCACTGAGACTGTCAGGGAACTTCTTAATCTTATTTTTAGCAAATTTATTTTTTGTAGTTGTGTTTAGGGGAGAAGGTGATACAAACCTATCCTCTGCCATGTTGTGGCTAAAGACCTCGATGTATTGTCTTATTATTCCTCGTAACAACTCCATGAGTTTACTACTGTTATTCACATTTTACAGGTTAGAAAACTGAGGCTCACTAGTAACCATAATTTGTTCAAGATTATACAACAAAAGCAGTGATACAGTGAGGACTCAAAATCATGTTGTCTGGCTCGAGAATTCCAAATTTTAACATGTGGTATCTAAAAACCACTTTGGTTCCTTTAGGTTTATACACACACCACTCATTTCTTTTCCTAGATGAATTGATCTTATTTTTCCTAAATCCAAGTCTTCTTATGTAGTCTCTCTTTGTGAATGTGTTGCTACTTACATAATCATCCACGTCAACAACTTCGGAACCATCAGGAACTTTTTTCTATTATGTATCCCTCCTAATCCTGCAATCATAGAAAATTATAGCTTCTTAACATCTATCCCTGCCTCTTCATTCTTATTCTACATTTTCCACCTAGATTACTACAATAGTTCTTGCACATTTCCTTTTTGTCTTTAAATCTTTGAATACTGATTCTGTTATCTTACATATTTGCCATCCTTAAATAGCACTTGCTATTACCCCCTTACTTCCTTTAATTTCTATCTTGAGCCTCCTCCCAAATTCTTAACATTCTCTTGAGAAAGTCTCAATTACCTTAAGCTCAAAAATTAGATTATCTAATCATGACCTTCATAAAACTGTTGCTTCTATTTTTCTAGAATTCTGAACAGTCACCCAATTCCTTCTTTAAAGTTGCACTAAAAATACTTTTTTTCTGAATATAAGAAAATATGACTTTATTGTTGAATAATTTGAAAATTTAGTGCACACAAAATAAATGTCATCTGTTACCCCACAAATCATAGTATTTTAGTAGTTTTCCCTTTGGACTTTTGTTCTGTATGTGTGCATGAATAGTGCATGCAATATACATATTGCATATGTATATACAAAGTACACACATATAATACTGAGTGATACTTAATCAACACTTCCGCTTGGATGTAACTTTCTGCAGTACACATAATACCTCCTTGCACCTGTAAACATGTTTTCCCTGCATTTTTCTCCATTTCAAAAAATGTACCCTGCATTCTTCTGGTGTTTAGCTGAAAAACCTTAGGCGTACATGTCACGTTTCATACACCCCAAATTTAATCCATGAACAAATCTTGTTGACTGTGTCTTTAAAATATGCCCAGAATCTGATCATACTTTACTACCTCTACATCTATTGTACTCTAGGAGTAGCCATCTTTTACTGCAGTTAATAGCCTCCTTAAACGCCTCCTTTCTGCCATTGCTTTCCTTTAGTTTATTTTCCAAAGAGGATCAGATTGAGGTTTTTTATATATTTTTATATATAAAAATATTTTATATCATTACAAAATATATAAAATATATTTTTATATCATTCCTCATTTTATTACACTGTATGCTTTTTCATCTCTGCCATAACCCCCATGAACTTCCCACTACCAATTCACCGGTGTGCCCCTACCTTGTCCCGTGTGCTCTTCCCACCCCTGTTTCAATCCTATTCCCCTCTCCCCCGGTAGAATGTCTCTGGGGTATAGTTGTTTATTGATTTTGGTTTTTACTTTATTACAATCCTCCCCCCCCCCATCCCTTGCATTCCTCCTGTAAGTGAAACTATCTGGTATTTTTTTGTTTTCTTTCTGGCTTATTTCACTAAGCATGGTCCCATCCATCTCCATCCGTGTTGCCACAAATGGCATGAGTTTATCTTTTTTGAATGCTGAGTAATATTTCATTATGTATATGTCCCACATCTTCTTGATCCAGTCATCTGTTTGGGGGCATTTGGGTTAAATTCCACATCTCACCTACTATAAATAGTGATGCAGTAAACATAGGGATGTAGGTGTCCTTTTTTGAGTTAATGTTTTTGTGTCTTTTGGGTAGATCCTGAGGATTGGAATTGCTGGATCGTATGGAACCTCCATTTTTAGCAGTTTGAGAAACCTCCAAACAGCTTTCCATAGTGGTTGTACTAGTATGCATCCCTGCCACCTCACCCCAGTGAGAATGGCACATATTAAAACCAAACTAGCAACAACAAATGTTGGTGAGGATGTGGAGAAAAAGGAACTCCTACAGAGATTGACATTTTTTTAAAGCCTAAGTCAAATCATGTCAGTTTTTAGGATTCTCTTAATGACTTCCTATCTCATTCAGAATAAAAGCTAGAGTTCTTTAAGGACTTGTAAACCTCAACATTATTTGGCCCCCTGCTGTCTTCCTCTCTTCCTGGCTAGTTCTCAAGCAATACTGGTCTCTGTTGAATATTAAAACAGCAGGCATTTCTCACCTCCCCCTTTCAAGTCTTGTCCCTATGTCTAGTATGATTTACCCTAGATAACCATATAGTTTATTCCCTTGTCTTTCAGCTTTCTCCTTAAATGTCACCTTATCACCAAGGAATTGCCTGAACATGCCTCACCCATGTTTTCCCCCTCTTTTTTTCATACTTTCTTATATTTTTCTCCACAGAACTTAATGCTCTGATATTTTAAATGTATACCTTTGTAGCATTTATCATGTAAGAATAATCTTACAGTGGTATACTTGTATGCTAATAGAGTATACATGTATGCTCCTCGACATTTTGGTATTGTTGTCTTACATTTTACTTCCATATATGCTATAAATTCCATATGGCATTAATATTATTTTTTCCTTTAGACAATTATTTCTTCAAAGAGATTTAGATAATCAGAATGTATTTTATCTTTACCCCTTAGTTACCATCTCTAGTGCTCTTTATTCCTTTGTGTAGATCTGTATATCCAGGTATATCATTTCCTTTTATGTGGAAGAAATACTTAACATTTACTATTGATTCGCAGTTGTTGAATCCTTTTAACTTTTGCATATTTGCAATGATCTTATTTTTTCTTTATTTCTGAAAGATGTCTTTGCTATTACAAAATTCTAGGTTAACATTTTGTTTTCTTAATGTTTGTCATTTAAAAAAAATGTTATTTATTTATGCATACAGAACTGGGGTATAGGCCAGAGGTGGGGTGGTGGTGAGAGGATTCACCAGGGACAGAGTAGGGAGCAGAACAGGCTGATTGAGTGAAATACACTGTTGAGGAGAGAAGTGGTGAAGACAGGAGAGGTCTGTTGTGCCATGTGGGTCACCTCCCTGGCCAGGGATTGAACTCGTGCTGCAGCGGCTGTGGACAGCTTCATAATGCTCTGCTTTAATCACTTGCGCCACCAAGGAGGGTCGTTTTTGTTTTCTTTCAGTACCTTAATGAAGTTTTACCAGTGTGTTGGATTATGTTGTGTCTAATGAAAGAACTCTTTTGTCAATCTTTCTTTTACTGAACTCACTGTGATTTTTTTCCCCCACCCTCTGGTTGCTTTTCATATTTTCCATTTATCATTTACTGCCAGTGACGTGACTATATATCTTCATGTAGTTTTCTTCAAGTTTCTTTTGCTCTGAATTCATTGAACTTTTTAAATTTGTGGGTTTATCATTCTCATGCACTTTGAAAATATGGGGCCCTGGTTTCTTCATATATCTTTTCTATCACCTGACCTGTTCTGGAGTCTCAACTGTATGTATATTAGGCTACTTGAAATTTTCCAGAAATCACTGGTGATCTGTTCATTTTTCAATATATTTTTCCTTTGTTTGAGTTTTGCTATTTCTTTATGTTCATTAATCATTTCTTGTGAAATGTGTAATATTGTGTTAACTCTATCCAGTTTGATTTTAGATGTATCTTCTATCATTTAGACTTTGATGTTTAGCTACTTTAAGTAGATAATGTGTAATTAATATACCCATTCCTTTTTTCTAGCTTCTTGAATATTTACTGGTTAAATTTTTAATTGAATGTGAGACATTGTTAACTACCTTTTGGGGCATTGGATATTTTGCTATTGCTAAAAGTGTTCTTACACTTTGTTCTGGGATATAGTTTGATTACTTCAAAATAATTTGATATTTTGGGGAGTTGGTTTTCTGATATATTATGTGAGATCATTGAGGCATTATTTTATTACCAAAGTTGTTCCCCTCTTGAACCAGTACCTTTCTTAGTAGTTAGCCCTATGGCTCTACTTGTAGTACTCTGTGAATGTGAAAAGTAATTTTTCTGGTGATTTATTGCTCATTCTTTTCAAGTCTTATCATCAGTGTTCAATACTTAGCTGAAATTTGAAGGCTGTCTCTGTAGGTCTCTTAAGTTCTTTAATTGTTCGTTTCTATTTCTTTGTTACTTTTTCTTGTTCATGCTATCCATCTTTTTCCCCTGGCTTCCAGATCTGTCTCTTTAATTCTGATAATGTTGCCTAAGTTACCCCCACTCTGGGCTCTAAGTCTGGAAACTTACTGCTTGCAGCAGCCTGACTTGATCATATAGTTTCCTTTGTTCTCTGTTCTAAAGCATAATCTTTTTTTTTTAAAGATTTATTTATTTATTTGTACAGAATTGGGGTACAGACCAAAGGTGCAGGGGCAGTGAGAGAATTCACCAGAGACAGAGTGGGGAGCAGAACAGGCAGATTGACGAAGTACACTGCTAAGGGGAGCAGTGGGCCAGGAGAGGTCTGCCATGCCATGTGGTCACCTCCGGGGCAGGTGGGAATCGAACTCATGCAGAAGCAGCTTTAGATTCTCAGTGCTGTGCTTTAACCCGCCGCGCCACTAGGGAGGGCCCGTAAAGCATAATCTTTTTATGCTTGCAACTCATTATCTTGGAAAGCATAATTTTATATATCTTGTCCTTTTTCTTGGTTTGGTCAGCCATTATAGAAAGCTGTTCACTGTTATTCTGTCTTGAAAAGAGGAAAGATCTGACTTTTACATTATATGTTCTTTGTCAATATTTGAATTTAATGGTTTTTCCATACATTCTCTCTACCTACCATTTAAAAATTGCTGTTCATATTTTACACATATTTATGTGATTTCAACTTTATATTTAAAAATTTTAAACCATTATTCTTGGTATTTGACATGAGGTAAGGAATCTAGTTTTTTCCTCTCTCTTATCTTTCTCATTGTTGCTCCCCTGCATCTTTTTTTCTTACTATGTGTACTTTATTCTTGGTTATCCAATTATCCCAACACTGTTACATAATACTTCTTGTTCAGAATGAGTTCAATTTCATCTTCATCATAACTTGTTAAACTTATAATCCTGTATTGTTTTCCCACTAAACAGTCTATAAATTCTGGAGCTAGTTCTCTAAAAGAGAACTGTGCTTTTTATATAACCTTATTATATTTACTATACTTTGTATATAACCTACCTATTATATATTAATATTTTTAGTGAGGAAGTTCCATTTATTATATAACTATTCTTGATTATCTCTTTCCAAATTAACTTCAAAAGTGTTTTTTTTTTTAAGACTTTTATTTATTTATTCATACAGAACTGGGGTACAGGCCAGAGATGCGGAGGGTGAGAGGATTCACCAGAGACAGAGTGGGGAGCAGAACAGTCAGATCGTCGAAGTACACTACTGAGGGGAGCAGCGGGTGGGTCAGGAGAGGTCTGCCACGCCATGTGGTCACCTCCGGGGCAGGTGGGAATCGAACTCATGCTGAAGTGGCTTAAGCTTCTCAGTGCTGTGCCCCAACCTGCTGCGCCACCAGGGAGGGCCAACTTCAAAAGTGTTTTAACAAATTTCTAAAACCCATAGTACTTCATGTGGTTAATATATATCAACTAATATAACTGATTTTATATTTCTTTTCTTTTGTGCATGAGATTTTTTCCTAATATACTTTATAATTTGTTAGGAAAGCTCCTAACATTTTGATGTTTTTATAACTGGTAACCTTAACTCTTCATAATAATAATTAGTGATATTTCTATTTTTTTTCTTTGGGTAATCATTTTTTCTATAAATTTAAAAAAAAGTTTCTAAAAAATTTTTCATTTGATAATGTTCATTTAAAACATCATATAGGTATTACATATCTAGCATTATAATTCGAAATCTGTATGTACTGTATTATAATCATCACCAAAAGCCTAGTGTCCATTCCACCACCATACGATTAATGTCCTTTACCAGATTCACCCTTTTTTCTTTCCCTTGTGGTACTGCTGTTTTGCTCTTTTAATGTAAGAGTTGGCTTTCATTTTTTTTGTTGTTTTGTTTCTTTATCTTTTACATGAGTGAAATTGTATGGCAATTGTCTTTATCAATCTGAATTATTTCACTTAATATGGTCTAGGTCCATTCATGTTGTCACAAATGGCAAAATTTCATAATTTTTATACCTGAGTAGTATTGCCTTATATATGCATAAGTAAACAAATATATCTATATTTACATATAGATAAATATCTTTATAACATTCATAATGTACACATTAAAGTAGTTTGAAATATTTTAACATACTAAAACATCTTTTAATTTTTAGTATATCAGCAGATGAAATTAATTCACCGTTATCACCTCTTGCATGGCAGGTAAGAGGAAGTTAAATTAATGTTATATCAAACATTTTGTACTCATTTATTTAGTTAGAAGGAATTGTTTTCATTGTAGCCCTTTGAAAATCAGAAGGATCAGATGGATGAACATCAGTGGCCAGAAACTCAACCTATAATCTGGCAGTGTGAAGAAAGGAGGAGGAGCAAACAGATTAGAAAAGAATATTTCAAGGTACTTTAGTAAATTTAAAAATACACTTTATAATTATTTGTTTTGATTTTAATTGCTTTTGTTTTACATTAAAAAGGTAGACAGTAACTAGTGAAATACATTAAGTGTGTTATTTTGTCTTGATTGACCACACTTACGTGGTATAGATACATGACCCACTTATATCCTTAAACGGATAGTTAAGAATGAGTAGATAAATCTGAATTATGATTTACCAAATAGTTTACAACAAAGATGAATATTTGCTGTTAGTTATAATGTTTATTTCCCAGAAAAGGTTTTTGTCTGGATTTGTCTTAATAAATAGTTGATAGTTGTTTACAATCATCATTTATCTATTTCTATGAGAATAAATGCTGTATTTGCAGGACCCAGACTAAAATACTTGTCAGAGTTCATTATTGTAATTTCTTATGCATATAAATAGTGCAAACAAAAAATAGCCAATTCTGTTTGTTTTTACACCTTTTCTATTTACGAAGGCCTAATTTTTATCTAATAGTAATAAAAATAATAATTTGCTTAAATATATACTCATAAGCTAAATTGTAGATAACTTGAAATTTATCTTTCTAATAAATGAGGTTATACTTCATAGCTTACTCTAGTGGAATTGGGTAACTAAATACATTGATCTCTTGCCTTTTATGAGAGTATAGCATATATTTGGGAGTTGTATCATAGGAACAAATATAAAATTGCGGTATATTTAGCAAGTTTAAAGTTTAATCCTTCAGCAAATATTTAGTGAATCATGTTAACTGGTCAATATGAGAGGTGAAGAAGGAGTAAAAGAAATAGTAAAAAAAAAAAAAATGGGAAGGGCTATGTAGGCAGAACCCTGGTCAGTAATAGTGAAAAGTCTATGTAACCCAACCCTTTATACTAGTCTATGAGATCTTGAGCAAAGGCATTTGATAACATTTGTCAGTAGATTAAACTTAATGAATATTTGATGATATGGGGAAAATTGAGTATTTCTAACTAATAAAAGATATTTGAAATTTATTTGATCAGTTACTATAGTAAAAACACAAATTCTGATGACTGAAATAGTCACGTGGCACTTACTAAATTCCAAACACTGTTCTAAGTTTTTTACAAATATCAATCCATTTACTGTGCAGAAAAACCCAATGAAGTAGTACAATTATTCCTGTTTTACAGATGGGGAAATTAAGGCAAGAGGCTGAGTATTATGCTTCAGGTAACAGCTAATAAGAAGCTGAACTAAGATATGAACCCAGAACCTAGCTATGGCGTTTATTTATCTACTGTAAATAGCCTAGTAGCAAATAAAGAACACTTTAAAATAAATATAATTTTATTGATTTTTACAATGTTTTTGTAACTTATGTTAACTTCTCATTAAAGTCATAGTTGAGACATGAGGCAACCATTCAAAAATAGTTCTTTGAAAATTGTTCTTTTATTTATAGGATCATTTATTAATGAATATTACATTTTATGACTTTAACATACCATCTACAATATGGCTATTTTGTAAATTGCTAAAATAGCAAATGAGATAATGTTTGAAGTGTCATTGCATAAACCTTCTTCAGTAATGTTAATTTCTTTTAGCTTGTAAGTAGATGTAAAAATAAGCATTAGTCATTGAGAAATATTTTAAGGAGATATTGTAGTTCTACTCAATAATCAGAAGATGTCAGTGTTATGACATTCCAAATAAACTGAACGTGTTAAGAGTTTTTTCCCATGATGTTAAGAAAGAAAGCTGAAAGACTACTCTCTAAATAAATCAAAACTATTATTAAGAATTGCCAGTATTTTCTTGATTAAAATATTAATGATTTCTATGAAGTGCCTTAAAGAAAATTACTCTTATTCATCTATTTCTTGAAAAGCATACTCAGTCTTTCATTAGACATTAAAAATATGCAGCTTTAGAGACTAATATTAAAATTATCACTGGGCTTATTGAATGGTGATTCTTTTAGTTATGGAACATGTGGAGCTTTTGTGCAACTACATCCTGTAAGACATAAATAACAGAGTCATGATTTCTCTTGTTTGTGTCCCATGCTCAACTATTTAAGATGATGCTTATTCAGTATATTTACTCAGTGTGTATATGTTGTGTGTGTATGAAATCCTGTTTTCAATTACTCTTAGTAGCCAGGAGTAATATACACTGTTACATTTTTCATGTAAAACCCTGAAAGTAAGTAAAGGATGTTTCCATTAAATTGTCCACTTTATGTGAACAAGAAGATAAATTGGTTCAGATTATATGATTAAATATATCACTGTTTATATGACTAAATAAATCATTGTAGGAGAGTTATGTGAACTATTTTAGACTCCCAGGTCACTGTTCTGTGGATTATTACTCTTTAGTAAATAAATTTGAGTGTTCTTGTGGCCAACATAAAATCACTGTTTTTTTTTTTTTTTTTTTTTTTTAAGATTTTATTTTATTTGTACATACAGAACTGGGGTACAGGCCAGAGGCTCAGGGGCGGTGAGAGGCTTCACCAGAGACAGAGTGGGGAGCAGAACAGGCAGATCGACGAAGTACAGTGCTGAGGGGAGCAGCGGGCAGGTCAGGAGAGGTCTGCCGCGCCATGTGGTCACCTCCGGGGCAGGCGGGGATCGAACTCATGCGGAAGTGGCTTTAGCTTCTCAGTGCAGTGCTTTAACCCACTGCGCCACCAGGGAGGGCCTAAAATCACTGTTTCTTAAGGTATTCTTTGTAATATGTTACTTTACTATGTTTTAATATGTTTTAAAGAAATGTTTTGATACTAATTTTAACATTAAGTTTTATTACCTGCCACAGGTCACTGTTCTCGCTAGCCACATGGCAACTGTTTATTTTCTGCTCAGTCTGAGCTTTTCCAGTTGTTTTTTGCTTACCTTTTCTGGGGAAAGGTCCCTTTTATTCCTGGCAAATTCCCACTAGTCCTTTTGAATTTACAGATAGGACTGTAGCATAATTTATATATTTATACATACTTACAAATCTCAGCTGTAGCATTTGGGTTTAAATCCTTAGTTGGGAATCTACGTTAGTTTTACAAATTATTTAGCTCTGTTGGGCTTAATTTTTTTTAATAATTCTAATAGTATCTTACTTTACAAGATTGTTATTACTATAAACATATTTGATGGTATACACTACTTAGAAGAACACTTGCCATATGGTATATACTTAATAATTTCGGCTTTTAATTCCCTCAGATATCCTCTTTTTCTCTGTTGTTGATGTAACATATGTTTACAACACTGTATGTGATTAGGGGGTAGGTTTACATCTCACAAGTATGTCCCTACACCACGCCACCCCTCGTAGTCCTTTGCCAGAAATCAGTGGGCGCTTTGCCCTCTTTGTTGACACCCCCACTCCAGTAGCTGCTACTCCACAGTTGGATTTCTAAGGTTTGTTTTGGTTCGGTTTTGTCAGTTCATTGGTTTTGTTTTACTGTATTCCACATGTGAGTGAAATCATCCAGTGTTTGATTTTTCTCCTGACTTATTTCACTAAGCATAATTCTCTCCAATTCCATACAGATTGTCATATGATGTGTAGGATTATTTATAGTGAGGAGGAATCAGAAATAAGAACTCCAGTGGCTGTCATACTGTATTTTCTTGATTTTTTGAATCTGACAACAAATACTTTTTTCACATGCTAACATGTTATATTTGTGCTTCAATGTGAAATGGAGCTAATAGTACTAAATTCAGGGTCGTTAGGAAGATTTGGTGCATTACTACACACAGCACATTTCAATCAGTGTCTGGCATATAGCAAGCACTAGTGTGTTAGCTATTACCATTGTTACATTATTGTGCTGGCAATATGTACATTTAAGCTAGTATTTGCTTTTTACTCGAAATCAGTAGATTTCTTAAAAATCGATAACATATTTGAATTACAGACTTGATATGAGATATTGGAGGCCTAGGATGGAGTATAGTTGAGAGACTTTAGAAGTAATTCTGAGGAAGATTGCAAAAAGAATTGGCTAGATTATTTTTTGTGTATGATGGATTAAGAAAAAGAAGGACTTAAGATAGTTTTCAGGTAGCAAATCTGAGTGAAAGGAAAATGGGTTAGTTTAGGTTGGATATGTATTCGCAATGTAGATAGATTAAAATGCTTAAAAATAACTTGCACATAGAAAGCATTATCTGTATGTATTAGCTATTAGTAAAAGTAAGGACTACTTAAACTGGTTATGTAGTTATGCTTAGTAACAGCTAATTTAAACTACCAAATATGATAGAAACCTTACCTATAATGTTCTAGTAGAGAATTTTTATCTCCAATAAAAAATAAATTATGTGTTTTGAATATTTTTCAGTATAAATCATCGAGGAAGAGTTCAAGTGGAAATGAAAATGATGAGGTGAGGAGAAAGGGTAATATTAACAATTCTTTAAATACTTGCTTATGTAGCTAGATCAGAGTCAAATGCAATCTGTCTTTTTGTTTCTTTGTTATTGATTTAGTGCATGGATTTTCTTCAATAATAAGAACAGCATCATATAATTGTAAATGTAATCATGTAATTTCCATATCTTATTTATAATACAATTACTGAGTTCAACTTTAGAATTTTGTTAACATTCATCTTAAAACATAATTCACAAATTAAAATGTTTCAATCTTTATCATCCTGATTAGTCTGGTCTCAGTTGAGATTTTCATAGAATTAATTTCTTTTCACAAATTCTGTGTACTATTTTAACATTTGAAATTAGATTTCTACAATTTTTGTGTTACTATAAATTTTCTACACCATATTTTAAGCTACATAGCAGCCTAGCTTTTTGAAATGATTCAATTTTATTACCATCAATGTTTAACTGTGTTTTTGTTTGGAGAGATTAATGCTTAATTTGATGTTGGGTGGTTTTGAAAGACCTTCTTTGGTGTAATAAATGGAATAACACAGAAAATATTTGGGGAACTCTCAGCTACAGGTCAACTTGGCAACTCTCTCCATGCCCCTTTTTATTTTATGTCCATTTTGGTCCTTGCCACACTATCTAGTCAGTTACCGAGACCTACATTTTTTAATGCTGAAATATTTTATTTAAAGATTTATTAATTTATTCATATGGAACTGGGGTACAGGCCAGAGATACGGATGGTGAGGGGATTCACTAGAGACAGAGTGGGGAGCAGAACAGGCAAATCGACGAAGTACACTGCTGAGGGGAGCAGCGGGCAGGTCAGGAGAGGTCTGCCGCGCCATGTGGTCACCTCTGGGGCAGGCGGGGATCGAACTCATGCAGAAGTGGCTTTAGCTTCTTAGAGCTGTGCTTTAACCCACTGCGCCACCAGGGAGGGCCCTGAAATATATTTTTTAAAGATTTATTTATTTATGCATACAGAACTGGGGTACAGGCCAGAGGTGCAGGGGCAGTGAGAGGATTCACCAGAGACAGTGTGAGGAGCAGAACAGACCGACTGATGAAGTACACTGCTGAGGGGAGCAGTGGGCGGGTCAGGAGAGGTCTGCCATGCCATGTGGTTCACCCTCCGTGCCTGGGGATTGAACTCATGCTGAAGCATCTTTAGATTCTTAGTGCTGTGTGTTAACCGGCTGTGCCACCAGGGAAGGTCCCTGATGCTGAAGTAGTTTTAGTACATTCTCTATCTACATTTCTATTATTTTTGCCCTGGCACACTCCCTCATCATTTCTTGCCCGTACTATTGTAATAGCATCCTTACTCTTCTCCCTTTCTCTAGTCCATTCTTCTTCCTGAAGCCAGAATGATTGTTTCAAATAACAAAAGTGACTAGGTCATTCCCTAGCCTAAAAACCTTTGATGTTTCCCCATCACTTTGCAGCTAATTCTAAGACTTTCTTGATCTAACCCCCGTTTACTACATAAGCCTCAACTCAAGACTTTATCTTTCACTCTACTTACTCTCCAACAATATGGAACTGCACGAAGGTTTTATATATTCATCATTTCATTTATTGCTGTTGTTCCTTTTTTGTTGTTGTTGTCCTCTTATCTTCAACTGTTGTTCCATTCTTGCTTTTTTTTCTGGTAAACATCTACTTAATTTTTTACTTTTTTGGGTAAAAGATGCCTTTATCAGCTCACCATTTCCCCAAATCCCCCTTATCTGTGTGTTATAATATACTATGCACAGCTCTATCATTGTATTAAGATAGTTGTAGTATCTGTATAATTTAATCTGTTTCTACCATAAACTGAGAGATTCTTGACAGGATGTTATTTGCTAATTTTCAGTACTTACAGTGTCAATCATAGGGTCTGGCAATATAATAAACACTCAACATTTGTTAAATGATGCACAAGTGTCATGTGTGGTATGTAGATTTAAGTTTAAATATTAAGATTTTTGTATATTGTTGGTAGTACTTATTAAAAAATAGGTACCTTTTTGTTTTATGCAATTAAATTTTAATTATTTCTATGCGTATATTTTGTCCACATAATTTTTCCGATAAACATTCTTATTTGAATTGGTGGAGTTTTTTGCATGCCTCCATGTACCTATCTCAGATTGTAATGTATTGCTTCCATTTCTCATGAGGAATTATGCTGCCATTTCCCATCAGGAATTAATCTTACATGGATTTTTTTTCTAGAAAATATGAAAAAGTTTTCATTGTGATATTTAAAGAATATAGATTTATAGGAAAATAATTCAGCTGAGTAGATAGTATTTATGAAATTTCAAAGTACTTATAAGTCACCTGGAGATTTTATAGAATCTGATTCAATAGGTCTTGGGTCTGAATTCTGTATTTAGAATAAGCTCCCAGAGGACACTGACGCTGTTGAGTCACAGACCACATTTTGAGTGGCAAGGGGGCAGATGGTGTTTTCTAGATTCTTTTCTAGCAGTTTATCAAAACAGTTTTCAGTTTTCCTATATGTCTAAATCATCATTCATATTTTAATTTCATTTTTCATCTTTTTATTTTTATATTTTAGCAAGACTGTGATAATGCTAATATGTCACCACAATCTCCAGTATCATCTGAGGTACAAATTCTGTTCTAATATGTGTTTACATAATTTCTTCTTTGTCTGTTTCCTCTAATCTCATCATTTTTTAAAATCAGTGTAATTTGTTCATCCATAGTCTAAGATTCACATTAAGTTAATTTGTATGTGTAACCTATAAAAATTCTATGAACAACCTATTTTAGAAATAATCCTAGTATATGTCTCTTAAGTTACTTACTGGAAAATGCCTATAGGGCACAGAAAATAATTTATAAATGTTTTTATAATTCATCCATGTTTTAAAGTAAATAAAAACAGCTTTAAAATTTTAAAGTTGAAAAATATGCTTCAGCATTGTGCAATGACCTTTGGTTTTTCTTGTAACCAATTAGGTCTGAAAGCAATGCAAGAGAAACTTCCTTTTTCCACGAGAAACATCCCTGGAGTGGGTTGTTCCTATCGACTAGAGGGTACACATTTCTTGGCATCTTAGACCTAGAGGGGGTGACTTGGGGAAAAGGGTAGATGAAATTATCTGGTGGTTTGAATGCATGATTCTTCTAATTTAGTTAATCACTCATTTGGTGAGTTTAGGACTTAGTCTAAATGTTTGGATCATCCAAATTTACCATATAATTGTTTAATTATGTAGTTTTTCATTATAAAGTTTATGTTTAATAAAAGCTGAGATTGTTTATTTTGGATGAGTTTTACTATAAAACTTTCAAATGTACATGGTGATTAACTGTATAAACACATTGCTATATTAGCAACTAAAATGACTCACATTCTTTTTGAAAATAATTTAAATTTAGGGTATCCTAAAATTAGTCTTTGTCACCTACTTTTATAAATCTTTTATTTTTTTATAACAAATATAAGCATGTAAGTGATTACTTATTTACCTTCTTTTTGATTTTATGGTTTATGTTCATGAGGAGAATATTAGTGCCAGTTTTCTTAAATTACATTGCTTTTGGATAAGTGATATTTTCATCTGGAATTAATAACAGTTTAATCAAATAATGAAGACAAACTGAGACTTGTAGACTGATAGTGGGTGAGCCTGTGGCTTGGTGGCTTAGCCAACATTCAAACTGAACTGCATAACATATGTTAGAATTGTAAATTTTAAAGAATCAACAGAAATTTGATTGCTTCAATTTCATCTGTGAATGGAAAACAATATGAAGTGTTTTGCTATTAACAAAGTGCTTATTTATGCATTTATACATAAGAGAAGTCCCATGAAAGGGGTTGAAAGACCAGTAACTTTCTCAAAGACCCTCAATAATAATTGCTAGAGAAGTGACTGAGACACAGACTCTACTTCACAGTTGTTGTACAACCATTACTATATTGTTACAAAATTACATTATTTTACCACTTTACAGACTGGTTATTTCAGTTTATTTCACAACAGCCTCCTTTTCAAGATGAAGAAATAATCACAGAGAAATTTAATGCTTCCTGAAGACTTAGGCTATAGTATCTGATTGCAAATTCAGGTATTTTGACAAACCTATTTGTATAGCACACAGTTGTGTGAAAGCAATTCTAAGTAATATGCATTCAAATAAAAGAGATAATTTATCATCTATCATTCTGCAGGTACAATTAATATGAATGTAGGTATTTGCCTCAGATTTTGTACCAAGTATTAAGTTCACAGTAAATGCTGTATAAATGTCACTAAATATCCATTTCCTTTTCATTGAAACCTACTTTATTCTTTTTTGGAGACCTTATTCTGGTTCTTCATTTAAAAATATTTCACACACTTTAACAATTTTCCTTATACTGTGAGAGAAAAGTATTTAGAGGCTTATGTAATCAGATTAATTAGTAAATATTTATAGATCTTTTAGAAAGTGAAATGCATCGGTTTGAATGGAAATACAATTTCTTTGTTTACTACAGTAGGCATGGAAAAAATAAATGCTTCTCAATTGGAATGGATGTGAATACCTAACCACCTTGACTAATTTGAAAGAAAAACTATTACATTTGTTTTTCTGTTTTTAGGAATATGATAGGACTGATGTTTTTTCACATGGTCCCTTTGGCTTGAAGCCTAGATCAGGTAAATATATATTCTGCAACTAAATTTTACTGGTTATTTATGAAACTAGATTTTCCCAACTTAAATGGAATGATTCCATAGTTTTAAGTACACATAGATTCTTTCCCCTCTCCTAAAAGTAATTTTTTCTTAACCTTATTTGTCTTTCCAATTCCCATTCCCCATTTCTTTCTTCCTCTTTACCTTCAAGCTCCTGAAACCTCAGCTTTTTGCCTTAGATATACTGCAGTCTTATTTCTACTCTACTGTGACTGCTATTAGAATGACCACACTGCCAGCAGAGCAAACACTGTTTGAAATTATAGCACTCCATTATATTGTGGTTTTAAAAAGGGATCTTTTCGCATTTGGCAAGCCCAAAAGAAAATGGATCCATGTTACCTGGCAAGGTATTGAATTATAGTTTTTATTCCTGAATAACTGTATTGACCTTCAAGAATAATTTCCTTTTTTTTAAAGATAATAAAGGCTTATTTATGTTCAATGATAATTCTTAACCTGGATAATAAGTTGCAATGACATATGTTTAAATAAGAACATGTATAGGTGATGGTAAAAATCCTTACCCTTGTATTCCCTGTTGCTTTCAATTATGCAGATAAGTAGATTTCAATTATAGTCTGCAAAAATATTTAGAAACTATTAGAAAGTAATAGTGTTATGTAGTTTTGTACTGATTCTTTTTATCATGCCTCTTTTCCCACCAATGGTTGATCCTTCCTATTATCTTTGTGATAAGCAAGGAAATGTCTGTTTTTATAGCTTTTAGCCGTTCCTCTCGTCAAGAATATGGAGCAGCAGATCCAGGATTTACAATGAGGAGAAAGATGGAACATCTAAGGGAAGAACGAGAGCAAATACGACAGCTTCGCAGTGTAAGTCAGATTGACCTTTCATTTGGACTTTGTAGACATGGGTTTAAATTGGAAAATTAATGAGGTATGTGGATTTTATTGTTAATGCTCTGTAATTTTGGAGTAGATGATGATTAATAATACATTTAGCATATATTTAGACAAAATATCTATCATGTATCCCAATTTCTTTATAGAATCTGGAAACCAGGTTAAAAGTAATTTTACCTGATGACATTGGAGCTGCATTGATGGATGGGGTTGTTCTTTGTCATTTAGCCAATCATATAAGGCCACGTTCCGTAGCTAGTATTCATGTACCATCACCAGCAGTGGTAAGTTTTTTCTATAATTTGTTCATTTTCTAAAGAAAGAGCTTCTTGGAACTGTTTTTAAATAATAGACTTCAAGAAATTCAATTTTCAGTTTTGATTAATTTTTGTATAATTATGCCTGAAAAAACATCTTTTCCCCCCCCTTACTTTACAGCCTAAACTGAGCATGGCAAAATGTCGAAGAAATGTAGAAAATTTTCTTGATGCTTGTAAAAAGTTGGGTGTCTCACAGGTAATTATAGTTATTCTAACAAAATGATCAGTTAAATATTAATTTGTTACATGCATGCCTGGGCTTTTCTTTACATTGAGTATGAAGAATACTTTCTGAACATGAAAAGGAATACTTTTCTTTGGTACCTTTTACTGACTTCCAGCTTAAACTGTAGCAGCTATCTAACGAAATTTTAAATTACCTTTAAAGACATTCATAAAACAGATACATATATTTATAAACACAGATAGATATATCTCTGTATGTGCTCTATATGTAAAAGTATGGGCAAATTTGCTAATCATACACATCATTGGATAAATATAACTTAACTAGTTGATGCAACTTGATTGTCATGCTGTTGGTACTTTCATTTTTTCTGGTAATGGACTTTTGGATTCTTCTATAAATCCATTGATAGATTCTGATTGATTTGTGTTCACTGTGAACAATCAAAAATTTCATTTTGAAAGGTAAAATTGTAAATCCTAGTAACATGTCTGACTGGAATTTTTTTTCTTATATTATTGTTCATTTTTGTGCAGTTTTTGTTTTCTCCTCTCATGAGTAGTCCCTGTAGATCTCTTACCTATCATGAATTGTCATTGTAGTCTCTTTTGCTCTTCCCTGCCCTGTTTTGATACTTCTGTCTCTCCCTCCCTTGCTGCATGCCTCAGATGGATGGTGAGCATGCACATTCATCTTTTTGACTGGAAAATTTTTGTCTGAAATTTTTAGGAATTTTTTTTGTAATAACAGCAATATTATAAAATTAACATCTATACAGTGTTATAAAATGTAAAATGTAAATGAATAATCAAAACTGCTTTTGGGAAAATATTAGTTTAACATTGACATGACTGTTGAGAGGACATGACATACTTAGTAGATCACAGTCAAGTTGTGCTTTTTTCCCTTTAGTGTTACTTTAGAAAGTTGCTTTTATTGAGATATAATTGACGTAAAACATTGTATAAATTGAAAGTATGCGATATGTAGATTTAATATACTTATGTGTTAAGTTGCACCTGTGTAAGCTCTCTTCAGCAGTGGCATAAGTTTCTGCTCTCACATATTCCACTTTAAACTCATTGTTCAAATGAGTAAGTTTAATTAATAAAGAGAGAATCAGTTGAATTACTGTGCAATTTGGAGACTACATGCAGTTCTGCTCTCATTTCCTGTTCTCTGTGTGATCTGATGTTTTAAACATTTCTATATTCTTTTTTGTCTCTTAGTGAGAAGATGGAAAAATTTTACTTTATAGCTGTTATTGTATTATGTACATTTTCCTATTTTGCTTATATTAATTTTTTATTAATGAAGTACCATGGTTTTACACCTTTGTTAGTATTTTGCAGTACTGGATTTCTCTCTTCAGTTGTGGTTATCATAGCTGTCCCATCACCAAAGCACCCATAGTCCTCCATAGTCTGTTGTGCTCTCCCTGCCCCTTTCTTATCTCTCCCTTCCTCCTTCTGTTGGATGCCTCATACCTATATTCAGTTTCAAGGATTAGTTTTATAGATTAGTTTTATAGTTTGTCTTTGTTTAACCCTTTGGTTTCTCTGTATTCTACATATAAATGACATGATCCTTTTTCGTTATGGCTTATTTCTCTTAGCATAATCCTTTTCAGCTCCATCCATGTTGCCATGAATGACATGAGTTTATTTTTTTGATTGTTGGGTAATATTCCATTGTGTGTATATACCATGTATACCATGTCTACTTTTTTTTAAAGAGTTATTTATTGATACCATCAGAACTGGGGTACGGTCCAGAGGTGCACGGGTGTGAGAGGATTCACCAGAGACAGAGTGGGGAGCAGAACAGGCAGATCGACGAAGTGCACTGCTGAGGGGAGCAGCGGGTCAGGAAAGGTCTGCCACACCATGTGGGTCACCTCCTTGGCAGGAATCAAACTCATGCTGAAGTGGCTTTAGCTTCTTAGTGCTGTGCTTTAACCCGCTGTGCCACCAGGGAGGGCCCATCATGTCTTTTTTTTTTTTAAAAAGATTTTTTTACTTATTCATACAGAAGTGGGGTACAGGCCAGAGATGCGGAGGGTGAGAGGATTCGCCAGGGATAGAGTGGGGTGCAGAACAGGCAGATGGATGAAGTACACTGCTGAGGGGAGCAGTGGGCGGGTCAGGAGAGGTCTGTCTCACCATGTGGCTCTCCTCCGGGGCAGGCGGGGATCGAACTCATGTGGAAGTGGCTTAAGCTTCTTATTGCTGTGCTTTAACCCGCTGCACCACCAGGGAGGGCCCCATTTTGTCTTTTTAATCCACTCTTCTGTTTTGGGCATTTAGTTTGTTTCCATATCTTGACTTATAAATTGTGCATGTTTCCTTTCCAGTTAGTGTTTTTGTGTCCTAGGGAGTGGAATTGCTGAGTTGTATGGTAGGTCCATTTTTAGTGTTTTGAAAAATGTCCACACTGGTGGACATTTATGGGGGAGACCATTCTACATTTCCCTAATACTGTAAGAGGGCTCCTTTTTCTCCACATCCTTGCCAGCATTTGTTATTTCTGTTTTTTTTTTTTTTTAATGTTGGTCATTCTCACAGGTGTGAAGTGGTATCTCATTGGGATTTTGATTTGCATTTCCCTGATGATAAGTAACGATGAACAGTTTTTCATGTGCCTGTTGGCCATTTTTTACTCATCTTTGAAGAGTTGCCTCTTTTATCTCTTCTGCCCATTTTTTGAGTTGTTTTTGTTTGCTGAATTGTCTGAGTTCTTTGTAAATGTTTAGTGTTAGTCCCTTGTCAGATATATGGTATGCAAATAATTTTTTATCATTCTCTGGGGTGTTTCTTCTTTTTGGTTACTGTCTTTTTTATGAAAAAGAAGTTTCTCAGTTTGATATAGTCCAAGTTGTTTATATTGTCCTTTGTTTTCCTTGCTGCTGGGGATGAATTTACAAAGCTATTTCTGAAGCTTATGCAACCCCTATGTTTTCTTATGTATTTTTTTTTTTTTTTTTTTTTTTTGGTTTCAGGTCTTACATCCATGTCTTCTATCTACTTTGAGTTCATTTTATTTAAGAAAATTTTAGGGGAGAGTCGTTTCAATAAGTATTGAATGAATGGATACTGATTTGCCAGTGTGGTTTTAATTTGCATTCTCTGTGAACTAGTAAAACATTCATCATCTTTTCAAGGGCTTATTTGTCATTTGTATGATCTCTTTTATGAAATGTCTATTTAATCACCTTTTGTGTAAATAACTTTGTATGGCATAATTAATATGCCATAAACTGTATACCTTTAAATATAACTTTGGTAAGTTTTGATACATGAAGTCACTCATAAAATCCTCACTAAAATAGAAAAAATGTTATTATCATCAACTACAAAATTGCTTCCTGCTCATCTGTCATGAGCTACTTAGGTTGTTTCTATAACTTGGCTTTTGTAAATAGTGCTGCATTGCAAACAGGAGTGCACATACCCCTTCAAATTATTATTAATTTTGCATATTTCAGGTAGGTACATAGGAATTGGGTTCATATGATATATCCATTTTAATATTTTGAGAAATATCCCTATTGTTTTCCCTTGGTGCTGGATCAGTTCACATCATTCCTATCAACAGTGTATGAGGTTTTGTTTTTTTCCCCATTTTCTCATCAACACTTTTTCTGGTCTTTTTGATATGGGACATTCTCACAGGTGTGAGGTTGTATCTCATTATAATTTTGCTTTACACTTTCCTGATGATAAGTGATGAACATTTTTTCATGTACTTGTTGGCTATCTGTATGTCTTCTTTGAAGAAGTGTCTCTTTAGCTCTTCTGCCCGTGTTTGATTGGGTTTTTTAAATTTTGTTGAGTTGTTTGAGTTCTTTTTATATCTTACATATTAGCCTCCTTGTCAGATGTATGGTGTGTAAATATTTTCTTTAAGGATGATTTTCTTTGTGCAGAAGCTTTTTGGTTTGATATAGTCCCACTTATTTATTTTTATTTCTGTTTGACACATAGCAGTCAAGTAGATAGGCATATGCATAGATAGCATTTGGCATCTAAAAAGGCATTGGTGATTTTCACTAGAGCAATTTTATGGCAGATACTTTAGGGACATTTGTAAGATAGCTGTGATGAAAAGACTTAAGGATTGGAGAAGTGATGAACTATTCGTTTAAGAATATTTGATGTGTAGTGAAACATTCAGGTGTAAAGTGGGAAGGTAATTAGTATGATAGTGTTTTAGGTAAGGCCAACTCTGTAACTCTTTCCTAATATAAATTAAGAATCCAAAAACATTATATTTACAAGAGAAAATTTATACAATTTTGTACTTTTTCCTAAAGCTTTATAGAAATAATGTGTGGTGAAGTATAGAATTAGACTTACATTGGTAAACTAAATGTTGTATCTATAAATGTTGATTGTTTAATAACATATCCCTGATACAATATTATAATACAAACTCAATTCAGTAAAAAAAAGAAAGAAAATCCAATCTGACTTATTTACATTTTATTGCACAAGTTAAAAAAAAATGAAAACAAATGTTCAGATGTCTGTTATTTTGTTTTTCAGGAAAGACTCTGTTTGCCTCATCATATTTTGGAAGAAAGAGGTCTTGTGAAAGTTGGTGTCACAGTCCAGGCTCTTCTGGAGTTACCTACAAACAAGGCATCTCAGCTTTCTACAGCTTGATACAGCATTTAGAAGTCATAAATGTGTAGTTTCATTTCTTTGAAGTGATTTAAAAGATCTCAAATTCATGAATAAGTATTTCTAACCAAGATTTAATCTAACAAACTTTGTTATATCAAGCCTTTGGTTTTTTTTTTTTTGAATTATGTTAAAACATCAAACTTAAATTTTGAATTTGCAAAAGTTCTTTTGGAGTGGAAACTAGATTAATAAGAGTTTTTGATTAAATTCAAATTCTCTTTTTACTAAGTCAGTTGATAAACTTGGTGAATTTTCAAAGTCAGTTAGGTACTAAATTGAAAATGTGCTTTCAGATTAATAATCACATGTGTTTAATTTTATATCATAGCATACTAGTATACATCTGGATAAGGTAATTTTTTAACTGATTTAAAATAATTCTATATTTGAGTTATTTAATACACTTCTAGTTTATACAAAATTTCTTCAACCTTTGGTCTTAGTTTTCTAGAGAAAAGTGGGTAGAAAATCCAGAACTCTGGCTTTATATTGAATTCTTTTAGTATTAGGTTGGTGCCAAAATATTTTCAGTTGTACTGTAGATTGTTTACATGTGAAGTGCCTGTGTAATGATGACTCTGATATAGTCTTAAGCATTTTTGCAATTTCATTATGTCTCAATGGAATCCATGAATTTAAATTTTTTCAGTAGATTTTGTAAGGTCAGTAATATGTGAGGATTTAAATGAACCTCACAATGCAACATTGTGGTTTTCTATTTAGTTCATTACAATTTTCCTCAAATTGGTTGTTTCATGTTGTCAAAAATGTTAATATGCTTAATTTATGCTATTTAATTTTGCAAACCTTAATCATCTTTTAAAATGTATTATTTGAAGAGTATTTTATTTCCGTATTGAAAATGTTACACAAAACAGTAACATTTTTGAAAACTAGCAAAGTACTAATTATCAATGACATGTTGATACAACTGCCAAAGTTTGGGTTTGTCTTCACTTTCATAAACATTACATCAGTACGCTACCTTTAGTTATATTCAGAGAGCAGCAATTGAGGAATAGGTTTTTATTTGAAATCTGGCCATTTGGAGATCTTGTAAATCTATGATTCTCAATAAGCATGATGTTAAATTAAACACAGACCATTCTATAAATATTTTCATAAGTATACTGTGCTGCATAAAGTCATTTTTAAATTTCAAAATGACTAGATTTATGTTGGTTGTAATGCAGGAATCTTTCTAAAATATTACTGTGATGAATAACTTGATTTCCTATAGAAGCATCTTAGTATAATTAATTTTGGAGTAGGCAGGCAATTTATATCTTAAATATGTGATTATTTGCACTTGTTACCTCTTAATGTGGATGCAACTTATTAAAAATGTTGGCTTGGATATTTCAAAGGGCATTAGGTAAAAATTAGTGTGCCAAATGGTATGGGGAGGGTTGGTCAGTTTATACTTTTTTTGACCAGTTGGCTTGAAGCGATATATTTAAAATCTGACTTTAGTATACAGATGTGTTTTTACATTCCACAAAGGTTAAATTTGGAGCTTTTAAAGAATTAAAGCTTTTTATAACTGTAAGTTTTTAAATTATTGGTAACTTATTACTTGAAATATCTGAGCTAATTAGTTAATCTCAGTCATAACTAAACAATCCTCTTTGATGTGATCAATCTTCCAGTAAAAACTTGGATACTATAGGTAAATAAATGGCAAATAAATACCCAAGTTGTTAGTTTTTAATTTGAAAATTGGCAATATTATAAAAAGGGACCAAAAGCTATAACAATCACTCATTGTTTCATAGTTATTATGCTATAAGATTCCTCTTATTAATCAATCTAGTTTTTACTTATTTTAAAATATTGTTTTATATCATTGAAATATTAGTGACACTATAGGCCATTTTCTTATTACATCTTATTTATCAGTTAATTATTACTTTAGAAAATATAACAGAACCTCACTGTAGCATTTACTGAGAAGCAAAATTCCATTTCAGATGAGTCTATCTTGAGCCACACCATGGCAGTTTATTTACTGTGATGCCATAAAGCAACACCATTAATAGCATAGTCCCCCAAGGATACACTCTATCAAAGTTCCCATGTATTTCTTTTAGTAGTTTTTAATAAGTGTAAAGTTTATTCTAAATGGTTTTTGTGTTTATATATTTACTTCAGTTATTGAATTAAGAATGGTTATCATTATTTGAATTGGATTTGTGATTTGAAGAGGGTTAAATAATCAACCTAACCTTTTATTAGGCCCTAAAATGCAGTAGATAGCTACTATAAATTTTTATTACTATATGGCACAAGAAAGAATTGATGTTGAATATGTTAGAATTGAAGTAAGGAGTAAAAATGCATTGCCATGTGTTTAATTATCGTTACTGAATGCTAGTTTAATGACTTTTCTAAATGATTTTTTTGAAGAACTCAAATATTTGTATTAGTCACAGATCTATCATGATTGATTTTCTGATGCATTTAATAATAATAAATGGAACACTAAATGTATATTACCGATGCAAACTGTGGATAAAGTTGAATGAAAAAGTTAAAGTCTGAGATTTCTTTTCTCCCTCTCTACCTCCTCTTTCAACATCACAGCATCTGGTTTTTGTTAGTGCTTGGTAGTTTATGACTATGTTCTCTAGTATGCAAAAATTGAGAGGTTATTAAAAGTAAGATATTTAAGAGTCCATATTCTCTTTATATTATTGTTTGTTTTCAATAGGAAATATCTTTTTTAATGAGTAATTAGGATATCTTCACAAAATAATGTCATCTTTATATAAAGTAGACTTTTTAATATGATAGACTTTTTATATGACATAGATATCTGATAGGCCATAATATAAAAGGAAGAATAGATTAAATTATGATTATTTTTAGTGTATATGTAAGTGCAATGTTTAAGATTTAATTACACTTAAGCTATTTGATATGGAATTAAAATAATAGGTAAATGTCATGTATTTTATTAAATTGCCTATTCATAATTGTTCATCCTAAAAGGAAAAAGCTATTCAGATAAATATTAAAGGTAATTTCTGTTTTATAGTTAGTCACATTAATAATAAAGTCTCATACTTAAAAATGTCCTTAAGTAAATATTTGGCATAAGTTGAAGGCTATTCTAAGTTTATCATGCAGTTTTGCACTGTCTTTAGATAATGGTACTGTCTTTAGATAATGTTTGTTTGTTTTAGCAAATTTTGATATTCTTATAGACTGGGTCTCTGGTTTTCAGGTGCCTATCCCTTCATCTATAGAACTCTAAGGGATTGGATTCCTTTTCATACGTTACTAAATATCATATTGATTTGGAAATGCCCAGCTATCTTTTGTTCGTTAACCTTTCCTATTCCTGGGGTGGGGGAAATCACACTCTATTTGAAGTGTTTAAATAACTTATATTTCCTATAGCGTGTATGTGTGTGATGTGATGCAAGAGGGTGTGGTGCAAGACTCAAGCTATTTAGCAAAAGGGGAGTCTTACTGTATCAGAAAACCAGAATTTAGAAGTTGTAAGAATTATAAGTAATTTGTGATAGAAATTTACTGATTGAATCTTTTGAAAGTTACCAAAATTTGTAATAGATGATTGCTTAAAATGTGATTAAAAAAAAAACTTTTAAAGAAATTATTACTTACTATTTTCTTGGATACTTAAAAGCTTAATTTTGCTTACTTCACAATTTATTATTTTTTCCTGCACAATTTAATATTAGGAAAAATAAATTATTTTTACTGTATCCCATTAATATTAGTTACATACCTATAGAAATGAATAATATTTTAGGTGTGTACATAGGTTAAATATAGGTATTCTTTGCTTTTGAAAGTTTGGATTATACCAATTCACATCTGAAAAAGACCCACATTAGTACCTGTTTTTGCTAACAAAAATTAAAGGAGGATTTTTCTCTTTTGCAAATAAGTCTTTATAAAACTGGTGAACACCAGGAGCAGGAAGAGTAGGAAACTCCTTCCCTGGGAACTACTATACACAGGCTGTGCATTTATCATATACTTCTTACTTTCACTAGACGTTTGTGTTATTTCAGGGTGTGTGTGTAATCTGGAATGATTTTTGTAGGTATTTTTTTTTTTGGATCTGAAATGCTGTAAATTTTCCATATTATGAATAATTGCTTATTTTCTTTAGGTCATTTTGGATTATGAAAGGCTTCATAGGAATATTCTACTTTTGGAGAACTGTAGAAACCTATCTAAAAAAAGAAAGGAGTATTTCTAAAAGCAAATTGAGTATTTTGAAACTTTGTGTAGCTATCTCAGTTTCTTCTAATGCAAAAATACATAAAGTTGTACTCTTTAAGTTTATGATATGATGATTCAAATGCTACCTTGTGGAGGTGATTTTTAAAAATATTTATACATATTTTTTTTTACATCATTGTTCATTTTTGTACAGTGTTTGCTTTCTCCTCTCAAGTGTAGTCCCTATAAAACTGCCACCATCAATTCACCCGTAAACCATCTTAAACTTTCATAGGTTTCAACTTGGGGATCTTATTAACATATACCTGTTGACTCAGAGTTCAGGGATAAGTTTGTGATTCTGCATTTCTGACATGTTCCCAAGTGCTGCTGATACTGCTAGTCCAGTGACAACTTGGGAAATAGACTTATCACAAGCAGGGCTTCAGTTTACTGTGTAATAGGAGATTTGTATCTTAAATGACACTTCAAGCTCTTTACAGCTGGTTCTTAATATCTTTACTAGGACTCTTCATATGTGTTTACATTATTAAGAACTTTGGAATTTTCTTTATAATTTTAAAAGACATACATAATTCTCTGATTAACAATATTTCACATTTTTATTTTCTTTTAAAACTTAAAACACATATGGACATATAATTTTAAAGGTAAAGGAAATTAATCACATGAAAAGTAAGATAATGTGATAATAAAATGGCCATATATATCCACATAAGTTAATGTGATGTTCAGTTAGTAAATATTAGTGCATAGCACCTTCCTCTTTTGGAATCCTTAGAAAACTACATTAATTTCCCATGGTTTCCATGTCAGTCTGTTCCCTTGCTAGTCAACAACCTTGACGTTGAATTCAGAGCATTCTCATTTGCAGATTACCATGATTAATGTGAAATTTGGGCCATATACAATTATATATTTAATTCTAAATACTTATAATTTGATGTCAGAGCTCAATCTTTCAAGTATAGGTTTAAGAAGACATATGTATAAACAGGTGAGAACATACTTGTTCTTATAGATCTCATTTTTTTGTGTGAATTGATGGATTCATTTACTTATTTTAATAACTTTTCCAAAGTATGACATAAATTGCTAGTAAAAAAACACATGAAAAAATTAGCTTGAAATACCAAGAACAGGCACAAATGTGTTCAGTCAGGGGGATTCATTTACTTTGATGAAAATGTAGAAAAGTTGTTAATAAATATAAAAAAGAGGGATCATGTGACACATTGAGCTAGACTTTTTTTGATATTTGAATTATAAGTAATACAATTGATGTAGTTATACTTATGTTCACTCTCATTTATAATCTTTAAAATCCAAGACTAACAACTCAGAAGAAACTAATATTGTGCTATAACCCAAATTCTAAAAGTTATGTTTTGTTCGATATAGTCATGCTTATTAGTGAGGAAAATATATGTATAAAATACACATTTTAAAATGTGGGTGTAATTTTATTATGTACCACCAGAACTTGGAATTTTTTCTCTGTATAAGATAAGGAAGAATTGCTGTTGAAATTCATTACTCTCATGCTCGTATTTTGCAGACTAATTTTTAAAGCTCACCTCTCTACTACTTTAGAGATTGGTCTCAGCAGATCATCCTATTTTGAATAATTGTTTATTACATTTGCATGGGGGCAATTAATATACTACATAGATTTATAAAATTTTCTATATATAAAATGTATTTCATTAAATTTGTATTTTTGTTATTTCTAAAGCAATTACTTTTGAAACCTTTCTCAATGTGAAGTTTCAGAAAGCATCATGTGAGCTTAAATACAATACTTTTATGTTTTTGTCCTGTTGTAGGTATGAAATTAATAAAACACTGAAGCTCTAGTGTTTTGGTCTTTGGAAATGTTAATCAAAAGTAGTGTTTTAAAGCAAATGATAAAATATTTCACTTTTTATTGTTTCGAGGTACTTTTGATATTTGATACATTATTAGTGAGATTTATGTCAATAGGAATCTGATTCTTTAATTGATCTTTTATTCATTTGAATTGTCAGTTATTTCCAAATTGTTCCTTCTTCCAATGGCTACATTGCAGCAATGAATGCAAATAGAAATGTTTTCCTGTTTTCTAGATCTTTTCATAAACGAAGGTGTCTGTTTAAAGTTGCTTTTGTACTTTCTGGCTGATAAATACATAGGAGCGAAAAACAAGAAAACCACAAATGATGTGTGGCCTAGGACCAAACTTGACAAAATAAGGTATTGTTAAAGAAAGAATGACTGTATGACTACTAAATAATATATAATATTTATTGAGTTCTTATTAAGTGCGTAACACTGTACTGTTATGTTTTCAAGCATTGGCTAATGTAATCATAAAAAAACTTATGAGATGGGTATAGATGCTTTTATAGATGAGGAAACTTAGGTCATCGAAAATTATATGCCCAAATTTATCCACATCATAAAATTCTAGGATTCTAGTCTATCTAACATCAAGGAATGCTTATTCTATACATTACCTGTGGGAAATAACCTTCATTGTTTCACCTAAGAAATTGTTATGCAGTCTTCACTTAGTTTTATAATTTAAATTGTAAATGCTTTGCGGCATGTTTATGTTTTTTCTTTGTTCATTTTTTTTTGTGGATATTCTTCTTAATTTAGATGCTTGTACTTTCAATATTTCTTGGAGGGGAGTTATTGGACAACCAGGTGGAGGATGGGCAGGTTTACTGTTGATTTGGGAAAATGGAGAAGGATCTTGGAACCTTTGGTAGATTTAACAGGTCTTTAATGCTGTAGCAGGGGACCAGATAAGGCAAACCAGCAGGCAAGGGGCAGGAAAGAAGGCTGGGAAGTTGGCAGCAACCAAGCCTCTGAACACCCCCCATCTCCACACTTACTCCTCTCTGTTCCCCAGGTGTCCTGACTACCTATGCATGCCCTGTGCTCTCCTCCCTACCCTGGCTGGCCATGATCACAAGTTTGTATGCCCAGTGCTCATAGTCCCATGTACTTTTTGCGATAACATCTTACCACATGTGGGTATCCAAATATAGAAGGAAAAGAAAGACGCAGGTGGTGGCTGTAGAGTCTAGGGTGGCAGGTGAAACAAGAACCCAAGCCATTCCATTTTCCTTGGGGGGAGGGGGTTAATGGTGGTGTGGGTTGGATGTAGGATTTGCAAGCTCCTTCATCTTCTGTTGGTCTGAGAAGGCCTTTCTTTCTCCCTTGTATATGAAAGAGTCTTGCAAAATACAGTGTTTTTTACTGGAAGTTTTTATTTTTAATTTGAACTAATCATTTCATTCCTTGTCTGTAGTCCTTC